TCGTCGTCGTCCAAGGCAGGGTTACATAAGCAGTGATGTGTCTGCTGGACTTCCAACTTTCCGACTACATGTTGTATCAACAACATCAACTCCCAACGTCAACTCTCGCGAGCATCAAGCAAGGAAACATCACATTCCATAAAATTAAGAGCGAAAAGAAAAAAAGAAAGGAAAAGGGAAAAAGAGAAGAAGGTGAAGAATAAGGCGTGCAGCACAAGACTGCAGAGTACACATAGCAGCGGTATACCGATCCGTGGAACAAATTGTCATGAGATAAGATCAAGATAATGACTGCCAGAAGCAGGTATCTGCCGTTGTCTTCTCAACTGCCGCGACTTGATATTCTTGATATTTGCATGACTCGGCACCAAGGTCGAAGGTGATTTTACCTTTTCCCCCCTTCTGGATACCAAGCTTCCGGGCTTTCAACCTCGCTCGCGATATCGAATACGCCGGAGGGTGGGGTGGTCTATTTTGCACTTGTAAATCGCGGGTTCAGAGGGTCTCTCGAAGGTTTGGCTGGTTCAGTTCCTGTTCATGGTATCTCGTCTCAGTTCCTGGAGGGGAAACCACTGCCACCAAACGAGAGCTTTGTCCTATCTGTGCCGTGTCTGCTTAGCCGGGGACAGAGGTGACTGAACATCACCACTATCTCGACGGCCATGGCGGCTGGGGAATGAGGCAGAAGAAGATAATGGATGAAGAAATATATCACGTCCCACAGACCTATACTTAGACCCGTTAGGTATACACACGAAGACACAAAACGTACTGCACGCACACAACGAGGAAAACAGGATCGGCATTGCTCCAGCAGAGGGCTACAATTTCAGCTTCACTGGTCTAGTAGTGATGCTCGCATTAGGATAACTTTCTTGTTTTCCAAGTGTATCAGAATTTTTCATGCTGTGGCCCGGTGTTCCTCGGTTGGATGCATACATGCATGCAGACTAGGCAGCATCTCACAAATCGGAGCATTTACACTGGCACACGCAGTCACATCACATCTGTTGTCGGTGTGTGTGTGTGTGTGAGAGAGAGAGAGAGAGAATGAAATATTGTCTTGCCCTGTGCGCGTTCAATCTGTGGTACGCACTACAACCACCTGCAGGGGTAAGATAACTACCAATTAGCGCATCCTGGACCCATTTTCTCATATCAAAAAGAGCAAGATGACTATCGAAGGTCAATGCATATGAAGGCGTAAAGACGGTTGTTGAACATCCGAGAACAGATTCCACCCAGCATCACAACAACACTGGGTTAAACGTCGAACAAAGCTTCTAATCAGTCAGGACAGAAATTGTGGACGGAGCGAGCGCCTCTGCTTCCCCGGTCCATTCGAGAGGATAGAGTTCGGATCGCTGGAGAACAAGAGGGCAATAGTGCCGATTTCCTCTCATGTAATTGATGCATGGCTGCTCGAAACGAACTAGCTACAGAGTATTGGTGGTGCTATCACAGTTATCATGACAGATTGCCCCATGGCCAGGCCAGGGCAAACAAAGAAGGCATGGTGCATGCTTTGACAGTGCGGCTGGGGGATGGACCCGACAGCTGGGAAAACGAGAAACCTCGCTTCTTCCTGAGTTTTGATCTAGTAGGGAAGTACCTTGTTTGTCAAGCTCGACTTCGGGAATACCTCTGGGACTTGCTATCTGGCGATCATCGAATGTGATTGATACCGCTGACGAGAATGAATAATAACAATGAGAAAACAAAACCGAGTGTCGCGCAAAATGACGAAGCTTCTTCCATTGCAATGCTTCAGAACGGTTCGTTCAACATCATGTATGTGCATCAACCATAACCTTTGCTTTTTTAGCTGAAGAGAGCGAGGAAGACACTGACGAAGAGAGAGAGACCTTAGACCGTTTGAGGGCCTATCCTCTACGGAGTACCGTTGGGGAAAAAAAGGTGACAGACAATAATTAAGGGAGAGACAAAAAAAAGAAGGTTTATGATACTGCTGACTTATATGAACATATTTCTTATCTTGACTTTCCTTTTTCTTTTCTTCCCTTTTGCCCTTTTGGAGGTTCTTTTTATCTTTCTGCACGGTGTGTCAGAAAGTCTCTGACATCAAACCCGTGCATGATGATGGATCCTTCGTGGGCAATCACCTTCATCTTACTCGTTCTTTTTATAGTTGAATCAGTGGGCCGATATCACCGACAAGGCGGCACACGGAAGGCAGAGAAGAAGAAAAATTACACAGCAAAAAACGGACACACCACACACCACACGCAAAAAAACAAAACAAAAAGTCGACGGTCAACGACAGTCAAGCAGAGATTTCTTTTCTGGCGGCTTTTCCTTCAACGGCGCTTCAGCTGTAAATTGTCGTCGCTCGCATGGCAGCATGAATGGCTCTAGTTGGATGTTTCTACCAAGGCACACTTCTCCGACTCTTCTAAACAAAAAACAACAGTGCGTCCTGCGTATAATGTCCATATTCGGGTGTTTGAGCACGCTGCCTCTCCCGCCAGAACGGGTCGAACGTGAGCTAAATGCGCTAAGAGACAGGAACAACAGAGAGTTCGTTCTGCGTTAAGCCATCCTAGAGTAGTGTTTGGAGTGGTCACTTTTTTCAAGGGTCGAGCGCGCGTGCTCTTATCCTGCCCGTGTCAAGCAAGCGATCCCGAAGGACGCTTGAGCAGACAGGCCGGCAGACATGTAAGAAAAAAAAAAGGACGAGCACCAGCACCAGCAGCCATGTCCACGAATCGTATCTGCCGCTGTGAGCATCCTGGCGCCCGACTTCTCTAACCTCCGCATTTTTCCCGTCAAGTTTCATGTCCACAAAGTGGCTCTGGGCTGGTGGACCCTTGAATATACATTTACTCTCGACGGTACGGAGTACCAGCCAAAAGATTAGTTACAACAGAGAGGAAGCATCAAGAGAGCCAAAAAGAAGAAAGAGGCTGATTTCCACAGGCATTGGTTTTGGTAACTTTTTTGTTTTTTGGAGCTGGCATAGTATCAGCATATCCAACCACTCTTTCGCCTGTCCAATCTGGCTGCATGGAACAGATGCGCCTGTCACGGCCATCCGGCGTCGATGGCCTCTTCTCCAGCACTGAAATCGGCGGCCCACACACCGCCCTCAACTCTCACTACTCCGGACGCAATGTCACGATTTCACGGATGCTGGCTGCTCGCTCGGTCAGCGGCGATCCAATAGCAGCGCCAATCTGGCGTTCCTGAAGGTTAATGGCCCAGGGTGTGTGAGCGCGAGGGTGTGTGTGCAAAGTGTGCGAAGGCACATATCGAGTCAGACAGCTAACTAATTGAGACATGGCGGGTGCCGCCACGTCCCAGAGCAGTACATACACAAGCATGCACAGGAATGAGTGAAGGTGTCGTTGTAATGTATGTCCTGATGTCCTGATGAGCTGGATGAGATGCACCATCAGAAAGTGCATGACATTACGTATATGTCCCGTTCCTGGCTTCCACTCTTCGGAGCACAGGGTTGGTCTGAGAAAACCCACATCCCCTGTGATGCATTCTTGTTGGCTCGTTGGCCTTTCCACCGGAGTCCTACCTGGGGGTGCCTCGCTGACCGCAACCACAGGCACAGGCAGGGTCCCCAGGGCCAAGGGAGCGACAGAGAAAGTTGAACCAGCCTGTGTGAGCGTGCTGTGTTGTGCTGTGTGCTTCATGGGTGTCTGTCTGGCTTTCTGGGATCAGCAGCGCAATGGTGAGCCTTTCCTCGCGTTGGTCCCCGTTTTGCTTTTTCCATATACAGTGGAGTCGTAGGCTGCGCCATCCTCCGACCAGCGGCCCCAGACCAACTAACGAGGTTTGTTAGTTACACCCACAGGCATATCCATTCTTGTGCAATTACAATCGGCATGGCTACTGGGCCGTCGTCTTGGGCGAGTTCGCAAAAAAAAAAAAAAAAGAAAAAAGAAAAAGAAAAGAAAAAGAAAAAAATAACNCAAAAAAAAAAAGATGAAAAAAGCAAAAAGCAGCAAGCAACACCATCAGCAGAGAGAATCCACCTGGCCACTGGGACCTCGCCCGCGCCCGCTCGACCGCTTACTGGATGGCGGCCGGCGTGTCTTAACGGTTCATGCTACTCGCCGGATTGGCAACCTAGCGTGCCCTGCACCTGCGCTGGAGGGAATGAGAGCGAGGGAGCGAGTGATTGACACGCTCTTATTCTGCCACTTCCACTCTTTCTCTCCCATCTCTCTCTTCTTCATCGTCCTATCTTCATACTTTCTTTTTCCTTTCTCTTCTACATCTTCCCACTGATATACGCTCATTGTCCTTTTTTCTTTTCTTTTTCTCTTCTTCTTCGTCTCTCTTCTTGAGCCACACTCCTCGATTCCGCGTTAATTTGCCTGGCCTTCCCTCGTCGTTCGTTTCCACCCTCTGATTTGGACAAAACTGTCGTCCAGTCACTCTTTTTAGTTCACTAATTGTTTTTTTCTCCCTTCTTTCGCCTTGCCCATCAAACTCGTCGTTTATATACTTATATCATCTTCTCCATATTCTTTTTTTCTTCGTTCTCTCTTCTTAATTCCTCTTGTTCTATTTTATATTTACTTTACGCTGTTAGCCTGCCTACTTCCTCACACTCTCTTCTACATTATCCCAGAACTCTCAGGCTTCACCAGTCACTCCTTAATACCTATTACTCCCTCTCTATCCCCTCTCCGTCCCTCTCTCTTCCTCGACTCAAACAAGCCATTCTTTAGCAACACTTCAGAGGAATATATATATACCATATGGGGGTGGCGGACAAACGAAACTCGACTTATAGACTCGAAAGGAAAAAAAGGCAGATTCTGCTTCGCTGACAATCGAAACCCCACGAGTCGTCGCCTTGCTACAGTCGAATTTCAATATTATATACGCTCCTTTTGATACGCACGCTGTACTGGAACATTTCTAGGGAACACCATCAACCCAGTGTTATAATACTTTTTTTCGTTTTGGTTGAATTTACATATTATTTAATTGGTAGGTTGAATTGGAATCCTGATCGTATGATCGAGGAAAAGGAAGGGATGTATGTTTCGGCCTCTAGTGACATAACTAACGAAATTAGCCAGGCTATCCTATCGAACATCCTTCTCACAATGGACCCAGCCTGTGTTGCCCAACAGGCTCAGCCTTCATTCTACTACTACAACCCAGAGCCAGAGTCACGCCACGGCCAGCATGCCTTCTTCACTCCTCATCCAAACGAGTATGCTCAGAACCAGATGATGATGGTGCAGCCTCAGATGCCACAGCAGTTCACTCAGATGCAACCGCAGATGCATCTTCATCCGTCCGACCAGCACAACGGTGCTCAGTTCAGAACACTCGGTGCGAAGGATTATCTATCAACTCCCAATGCCGCAAACAGTCCATCGCCCTCTCCACAACCGATGCACATCAAGCCTAGCGTTTTCCTACACGGTTCGCCCACACTCCTGTCCTTGGACACAAACTGTGGTTGGGCCGATGCCAACGGATTTCCATCCACTCCTCCACTGTCAACCTCTGGTAGCAGCATCAGCAGCCCCCCATCAAGCTGTGGAATGACTAACACCCCCGTTGGCGGTGACTCTTTCCGCATGGAAGGCATTGAAGGCGTCAAAGAGGGCTGCGAGACAGACGTTGAACTCGAGCTCCTAGCGAACTCTCATTGGCACAGATCTGCTTCCCCTGAGATGACACCTTGTGAGTTCTTGTCGTATTCATCTTGTTTATCCGCTATCTTTAAATCTATATTTTTTTTGATTGTTATCGTCTGATGTCAAGATATGCTAACTCTTGGCACCTAAAAAAAGTGTATGTTTGTCCGTTTTCGGTGCATTCCAATGCCAGTTTACCGTCTGCCGAGGCCAGCCACCATAACGCCAATAGCAGCACTGAGAGAGGCTCTTCGCTTACGTCATCATCCTCGCGCTCGTCTTCTCGCTCTCCCATCATGACTTCTTCTTCCTCCTCCTCGTCGCTTCTCCACCACGAAACACCCACGACCTCGTTCTCTGCGCAGCAGCCCTCCAGCACCGATTTCTGCGACCCACGCCAGCTTACCGTCGATTGCCCAGTGCTTTCGCTACCCGTTCCTGACTACCCGCCACTTCCGCCACTCTCGACCGTGGATGAGGACAGGTCGCGGTCCACCCTTCTCGGCGGCTCGCTGAAACCAGAGCAGAGCCTCACTGTTCCTGGGCTCAGTCACGACGATTCTCTTGAGAGCTTGTCGACCTTTGATGCCATCTCTGATCTTGACTCTGAAGACGAGTTCGTCAACGGTATAGTTAATTTCACGCCGACCGAGAACGGTTTTTTGCTTGGCGAAAAACGTCGACGCACGGTCAGCAACGCCAACAACGGCACCGCGACAACTGTATCCCATGAAGACGACATTATAAGCGAACAGGGCTTGGATGATTTAGAGGAAAGTGACTTGTTTGCCCGCTCTTGTATTCCACTTCCAGAGTTCGACACTGCTGAGCAGTGCAACATTGCCGAAGATATGAGAACGAAAAAGCGAGTATCAGCTGTTGGCCGGCGAATCAAGCAACTTCCCCTTGGGTCCGAGGAGAGTGATGCGGACAGCCTTGGTGCCATCATGCGAACTGCTCAGAGTAATGTGAACAACCGCGCCTCGCATACTGACTCATCTTCCACACAAGCACAGCAGCAATCTGGAGCACCTAGCCATGAAAGCTCAGAGACCAACCCACAAAGCACCACGTCCTCAGAGACTCCGGCTCCCACGCCAATGGTCCCTGTTGGCCGCCGTGGTCGCAAACAGTCCCTGACCGAGGACCCCTCCAAGACTTTTGTTTGCACCCTCTGCTCTCGTCGATTCCGTCGTCAGGAGCACCTCAAACGTCATTACCGTTCCCTGCACACCGAAGACAAGCCATTTGAGTGTCAGGACTGTGGCAAGAAATTCTCACGCAGTGACAACCTTGCTCAACACACTCGCACCCACGGTGGCTCTGGAATGCCCATGACCATGTCTGACCATCACCCTGAATCATCCCCTTTTGATGACCAAGATGCAGGAGCCCTCGGAGCCGTACTTTATGAAGTTGCCCAGGCTGCTGCTAACAAGTCGACAACCAGTGAATCGTCGGATAGCGGCCTCTCCACTCGAGACAACCAGTCTGCGCCTTTCACAAACCGGAAGCGTCCACTCAAGAAGCGCAAGCGTGAAGCATCTGAGTAAAGAAATTGAATTTTTCTCTTCGCTTTGCACTTCGTATGGATTATGAATTTCCTTTACAAAAATTATTCCTTCCGGGCTGAAAGCTCATTCGCCGGACATATACAAATTTCTATCCGTGGGCATTCGACATACTACTCATACAATCGGCGCGCGTCTCATTATAAAGGGGATTGGTGTTCCTGAGCATTGGCGTTTCCAGAGGTCTGACTTTTTACTTCCTTTTCTCACAAAAGGGTAGGGAGGGTGGCTCTGGGTTATTTCTCGACATCTTTCATCACACAACGATGATTATTCCCGTCACCTGTGAGCTCCTGCTTACTCTGCCATGGGCTTTTCTTTCTTTTTAGATATTCATGCATTACTTGAACTACATTAACCGTTTTAATACTCGCTTCCTCCAAGGTGTTGGCTTGCGGTTGAACATCTGCATCAACATCCTAACAGCCACCCTATTACCTTCGCAAATGCTTTGCTGGTCCTAGCATACTTTATTCTATATCCTCGAGCCCTTTGGCCTTGCCTCCTCGCCTCGCCACTCTCCATATACCACCTTACCTCCCGCCCATCTTTCGTCCTTATAGCTTTGTACTTGATAAATATTATAATTGTTAGCCACCCCTTTATTTACCCTATTTTGATTTTACTTCGCCTATCTTTTCTTTTTAATTCATGGCCATCTTTTTCCCCATCTAGCATTTTCTTTTTCTTTTCTTTTCTTCTCTTATGACCTTTATGCCAATACTGCTTTTGTGTTTGCCCACATGCGAATTCCGCGTGCTACCTAATTATATTATTACTTACTTCCTGCAAACGTATCACTATATCCTCTTTTCCTTGTTCGCCTTGACATATCTTCCTAACTGTCGCTACTGTATCATACTTTTATCTTAGCCCTTTCCCATCCCTCCATTCTGACTCGGTCAAGCACACTTTACATCTCTTGTTCGGCAATACCTACTTCGCTCTGCTTCAAGCGAACGCACATAATCTTTTTTTTCTTTCCTTTTGTTGAGTGTATGTAGCTAAGTCAAAAGAAAAGAAATAAAAAAAAAGTAATATATTTATTGGTATTGATTTTCTTTCTCTTCCAGACCTTGTCTCATCTATTTATAAATGTCCACTGTTATATTATTATTATTGAATCTGAATAAGTGCCTAGCATGTACTCCGTACTCCGTACACCGTTGGGTGGAAAACTATTAAATATTTGTTATCAAACCTGTGGGGCTGAAATGCATCGAGAGAACCTAATCATGCAAACATCCATCCCAGGTCATCCAACGTGTTTCGATAGCTGACGCTGGCCTCCTGTCAATACCCAACTATTGACTCCGTCTGTTTGGTTCGATTCAGCCAAAAAAAAAAAAAAAAAAAACGTTGACAAGTCGTTCTCCAGGGCAGCCGTGGTATCGATTCACCAATAGCCAACAACTAACGCAGAGAGTGACAGCCCACTCTCACAGGAGATACACCCATCATGCCCGAACAGCTGAACGTTATTGCTCTGATATCAGGCGGGAAGGACTCTCTATATACCATCTTGCACTGCATTAAAAATGGACATAGAGTTGTAGCACTCGCTAATTTATGCCCTCCACCTCGCCTAGGACAAGAAAAAGTGAAGGGAAGCCTTGGTTCAGAGGAGGAAGACAAAGATCTGGACAGCTACATGTACCAAACGATTGGGTACAGCGTGATTCCACTTTACGAGGAAGCCTTGGAAATCCCTTTATTTCGGCAGGAGATCCGTGGGCGTGCAGTAAATACTTCTCGAGACTATCACCATCAGGCTTCCACAGGCAGAACAGAGCAGGAACAAGACGAAACAGAGTCGATATATCAGCTGCTTCAGCGGGTTTTACAGGCCTATCCGGAAGCGAATGCTGTTTGTGCAGGTGCAGTTTTGTCCACATATCAAAGAACCAGGATCGAAAATGTTGCGTTACGGTTGAACTTGACACCTCTTGCGTGGCTGTGGATGTACCCGTATCTTCCCGCACCATCACACTGCCAAAATGCGGCGACCACCGCGGCCAGAGTACCGATTACAGGGCTGCTCGATGATATGGCTGCGTGTGGCTGTGAAGCGAGAATAATAAAGGTAGCAAGCGGTGGGCTGGATGAAAGTGATCTATGGGGAGACCTTGTAAGTCAAGATGGAACCGTTAGGAGGACTATTGTCAAAAGACTGGGACGATTCTTAGATGAAGGTATTGAAGCCGCTGTGTTAGGCGAGGGAGGGGAATACGAGAGCCTTGCTTTGGACGGACCACGATTTCTATGGAAGAAAAGGATTCACGTTGGTTCCATGGATGGAAGGGTTGGAGATGCCGGCGTGGCATTCTTATCCCTCAAAGGTGCCCGATGTGTTGAGAAAGAGGCCTTTGGCAATGTCACAGAGTGTACGCTGGATGATGTAAGGGTGCCTCGGATGTTTGATGATGAATTCAGGAAACTTCTTGATACCGTGAAGTTGAACGAGGTTAAGCGTGCCGTTCCGATATATCGGAAAAAGGAAGATAAACGGTGTGGGAGATGTATGCTGCAGTATAAGGAGTCCAGAGGGCAGTTGAACGTCTACAATCTCGCTGCCCCTGAAGCTGGGAGTGGAGCTTCAAAACAGATGCATGCAATCAAGGATAAGCTAGCAGTTCTCTTAGGTGTTCAAAAGAAGAAAGAAGGAGAAGGATTAACTCCGGACGACGCAATCTTTAGCACGATTTTACTTCGATCGATGGACGATTTTTCTGCTGTTAACGCCATATACTCAAGCCTCTTCACCCAGCCCAATCCCCCAGCCAGAGCCACTGTCGCTTGTGGAGACAGTATGCCTACGGGAGTTGATATAATGATATCCTTTACCTTCTACCTAGGCCGGAGCACAGTTTTGCAGGCCCTCCATGTCCAATCAAGGTCTTACTGGGCTCCAGCGAATATAGGACCCTATTCCCAGGCAGTGTATGCCCCAATAGAGTCGTCTTCTGGTCAAATATTAGCAGCGGGACCTGTTTACATTGCTGGCCAAATACCACTTGACCCTAGCTCGATGCAAATATATTCCCCTACTGGAGAGTCAGGGGGCAAGCCGTCGCTATTCCTCTCCCAGGCTGCTTTATCTCTACAGCATTTATGGAGAATAGGCAGGGCAATGGAAGTGCGCTGGTGGATGGGAGCTGTGGTGTTCCTTTCTGCTCATGCTGGCGTAAGGTCTAGAGCTGCTGTAGCGTGGGATATGTGGAAGTGGATGAACGAAGATCACCATACAGAGGACACAGAAGAGGGCGATGGTGACTCTTCCACGTTTGATGTCTGGCATGTGAAGTATGGAGGACAATATAGTCAGCCTAAGAAGGAGGTGACTATGCTGCCAATACCAGACTTCGATATTGTCCAGGGAACGTCCGTTATCCCGTCTTTTTTTGCCATTGAGGTTGATGAGCTTCCCCGAGGAAGCAGTATCGAATGGCAGGGACTTGGATTAAAGGGAAGCGATGTTACTCTATCTTACGACCAAGTTGATGATTTGAGGGTCCTGCATGCGTCTGGATCCGAGTTTGGCTGCTACACATCCATATCTATTGTGGCGAAGCATGATGTTGATCTAGAAGTCTCGCTGAGAAAAGCAGTGCAAATTGCCACAGAAAATCTGCCTCAAGGAGGTGTATTTTCCCATATGGCTCTCTATACCCCCCATGGAGCCGAATTTGACGCATGGGATGGCCAGGTGATACCGTGTAAGGCTGTGTATGGCTGTGCAGCAGAAGAGCTTGTTGCCGCTCTTATATTTCAAACCAGCCCTCCATAAGGAAATTATTACTGAATTTGAACGTAAGAGATGCGATATTTATATGGTAATGCAGCATAAATCGTTGTCTAACATACTCACATATCACAGACACCATTCATTCCATGACTGTGATAGTTGGAGGATGACTCACCTCAAGCCACCTAGAGCTATTTTCAATGTAGCACCGAGTCTTACATTGATTGGATGTGACGGATAAGCTTGAGAGCCACCAGCTTGCGGGTGTGATGCCAATTATTTGCCTGTGCATGATATGTTAGACGGTCTGTCACATTTACCTAGATAGGGAAATAGCCCTCGCTTCTTAACGGTTACTCTAGATCTGGCATGGAAGTGTCCTTCCCGGACGTCAGCTTTAGAGCACTGTTTATAGAGTAACCGCTAAAAGGCTTTCATTCCGAGTTACACTTTAACGAAATAGGAGGCCGCAAGTTGAGTATTTAGCTCATTCTAGAAAATTCACATAGAGCAAAGTCTAGGTATAGTATCTTCGAATGCAGCCTGATTATTGCACCTATCATGGATAGAATCTCATAATCAGAGGGAAATGGTAGTTAAACTCTAGAGAAACCGAAAAGTGAACCAGACTTCTACCTCAGATGGACCATCAGCCGTCTCGCTGTATATATACCAACCGAGAGGGAAGCAAAGTTTAACCGGCTCGTCAGAACAAAGGAACTCCAGAAGCCCACAGTTTTCTAGATCCTGACACAGGACCTTTTTCCAAGTAACGTCCTCAGATGAGCCAGCTTCAGTGTCTTTTGCAGCACTAGATTCCTTGACAAGGAGAGCCTCAGTGTGTTCAGCCAAATCGGCAACCTTGCGATACTTGTTATGCCAACATTTGTGGATAATATCGTCAATAAAAGGATCTCCTTTGAGTTCGGGGAATATCATACTCTGCAGTAAACTGGCCATCTTGAAGCCATGCTCCCTAGGATTATCAGGATCAATACATCGATCTCCATAAAGCTCGAAGCCGTAGTTGATAAGATAGTACAAAGAGCCCAGGGCGGACTGCTCTGTTCGAGGGCCTAAGTTGCCGGCTGATCTATTGTTTGCTTCTTCGCCTGGTTCGGTATCGTTAAGGAACCCCCCATATGGAGCTCCACAGCCTTCAAGAGGCGTCCCAATTTCCGCTGTACGGTCAAAGTCTGTTACTTTTAGCTTACCACAGTCAAGGCGGACATTTTCTGGCCATGAGTGAGGGTGAGGGATTCGAGAAAAGCGGCCGCTTGGGCAAGCTCACTCATCCATCTCTTTCGTAAAAGCTATAGGCTCCAGCTTTTCCATCTTTGTAACCACTTCTGTGGACTCATCACAAACTTGGTTGCGTTGGATTCTACCAGACAAAGTTGAGTCAGGATGGGGATTAAAGAAGGATTCAACTTTTTCAACCTCCTCGGACTTGGAGACCCTAGTAGTAACGGTGAGGGGAGGTAAAAGTTGTGCCTATTCGGCTTTCTCGAATTTGATCCGAGCAATCAGTAGGTATAACAACATATCCGGCTAGTACTTTTCTTGATACTAGACCGCTATCTGACTTGAGATGCTCGACAAGGTTATTCTCCGTGTCCACAATATTGCAAGGTCGGCCTTCGAATGACATTATCATGTCCTCCTTCATTTCAAGGAGTCTATTTGAAATTCTTTCCCATTCGCCAGACAAAGCTTTGGCGCCAACATCAGACATTACTGCGTATAAAGCGACCTAAGAAAGTGACGTTCAGCCTGGCAGATCGGGGAAACCGTGGATTTGGTGTTGGAGTTAATTGGCTGTGGTCGACCGGGAGTTAGGACGGTTCCTTGCACTCGATAGGCGGGATTCAAAGGCGTTCAGATTATGCTTATAAGGGGTATATGTTAGTTCTGCTCATGTTGTCTCGTAGCGGGTATTGATGATTATATGGCGACGGGGTTATTAAAGCTGTTCATACTGCGTATTTTGAGGTTGAACGATTTGTTGTCGATGACCGACAGGCTTATGTAAGCTACTTTTTTTGGGTTTTCGGGTGGGGCCGCGGGTCGCCAAGAGAAATAAACTTTAGTGCTATTCGCTGATTAAGATGGAATTAACGTTTAAATTTCCAAAATCAAATACTACCATTGGGTAAAATTCATATATAGACCAATGGTAGTGAAGAAGCGTAGCGAGGGCATGACATGTTGACCAATAAAATCCTCGGTTTACCTGAATTCGGTAGGTCTAGGTACCTATTTCGACACACGGGCCAAAGTTGATGCGAGCTGCTTGTCTCACGGCCACCACCTGCAGACGGGAGTAAATAAGAATGAAATAACCGGCCTGCATTACGAATGCAGCAGCCATTTGACGAGCTGAAGCTCCTATCTGACAAATACTCGCCTGGATACCTACCTTATCCCAACCACACCTGACGGCTGGGCCGAGGATAGCTGCCCGTCAGTTGCGTGAGCAAAAGGATGGAAGCAAGCCGACCACAGCCGGCCCATTACTCGACGACTACTTTGAGCGAAATCTATACTATGATGGGATGGCAGCCCATGAACTCACGAACGAGGGTGAGCTAGAAAGCCCACTGGATATAGAGCTCCAGCAGGAAGAAAAGAGTGCACAGCATTATGGCCTCCCTCAACGATCGCCACACCTCTACCGCCGTCCTGACCAAGACAACGCAACCACTACTACACCAACGACAGATTCAGGGGAGAGCCTCTATGCATGGAGGAAACCATTCAAGACACCCAGCGATAGTGGCACAGAAGCTGACGATGAGGCGAATGGGGCGCTAAGACGTCTGCCTATACCCCTGGTAAGCAGGAGGATAGAATACCAGTTCAAACGGGGTGATGATGAAGTAACTACTAAGGAGCGAAAGAAACGAGGGCCCCCGGTTGGTTCCAGACGCTCTAGGAGGCATATTGTTGACTCTCCGGACTCAGGGGAATTGGAATTTCATATAACTATTGGGGCAAGGCTTCGTATTGAGGTATTGCGCCGAATTTGTGAGACTGGGCTTGTGCTTGGAGTAGCATTTGCTGTGGTGCTAAGACGTAGTGTTCGCTCAGTGGTAAAAACCTGGTTCATAGGTGAGTCGAAACGAAAACAAACAATAAAAGATTACTTGGTAGTCAGGACTAACTATGTGTTTTAATATAGAGTTATCTGTCTTTATTCTCCTTATCTTGGGTCTTTATGCTATATTTCCTCTCCGGAAATGTCCTTACGGCAGTTATCGCACAAAACTAAAGAGGATCATAGCCTTTCCATTTTTCAAAGACATAGATCCAGCTCCCTTGATATACCCCATATTAATACCTGTTTTGACGGCTCTGTCTCTAGGGCCATCCTGTGACTCGCTTGTTTTACTGAACATAATTCTAAGCCTGTCGTCTCTGCCGGCTGCAACTATTCCATTGCATGATTCTGGAACTTATAGTGTGGTGCATTGGATGATTACCGCCATCCCTCTCCTTATTTCTGAGAATCTACCACTTTCCCGGAGCCCCAAGGAGGCTATGGCTGAACTCGGACTTGAACCAGAGCTTCTAGTCCTTATATTCCCACTCCAAAAGTCAACTATCTCGATTATTGAATATCTTGTTACTTCAAGTCTACTGCCGTCGGAGGTGCAACTCCTGGGAACCGCCTTGATCAACGTACTTCTGGTCTCAAAGTCTCCTCAGGCTCAGATCCTCAAAGCTTTGATCTGGCTAGGCTCACTGTGCATATTCATTGCGTGCAAGCGAGTCCTTCTCTGGGAAGCAACCTTGGCTAAAATCCCATTGTGGAAATTCCGCCGAGCTTCGACTCAGACAAGTGATGATGATCATATTCTGGGTGCGCTAGACCGTCAAGTTTGCCATACTCTGAATCATCCGTTTTCCGAGGACCAAGCTTCAGAGAGCGAGGTACAGGTGGATGTGGATAGATCCAGAAGCCGCCGGACTAGTGTGCTGTATAACAACTTCACGAAACTTCTGGCAACAGAAGTCGATCTTGACAAGGGGTTGTTCAAACGGGGCGGATTGAGCCAGCAGCCACTTTCAGCCATGGAAAACGAGCCTAGAATTGAGGCAAGTCTGGACAAGCTAGATGACCAGACACAGCCTTCTAGATCAGATAGTCAGCGTTTTTTGTCTTCCAAAGCGGGAGAAATGGTGCCTTCTCGCAGAACTACTACCAAGGGAGGCAGACGGAAACGGCAGCTTCCGCCTAGTATGAGAGCGTTTCTCTCCCTTACCATGGAGCAGGCCACTATCCGAAAATGGGCGTATGCTTTGTACGTGTATGCAATGGTTCTTGCGATCATACTGGTTCCTGTGAGGTGGTACGTTGGTAAATACGCCCTTGGAGGGAGGGAGCCGTTTGGATGGGCGATAGGGTATCTCTTCGGGAATATACCTTCTGTCAGGCTCACGCTGTTACTCTGGAGCCTTGAGGTCTGGGCCTGCATTCCACCCCGGATATACGATATCTCAGCATCCTGTCACCTAGGCTGGGTCGAACATCTCCGCCGCGACACACTTGGAGAAGCCAATACCCGGCTGTTTCTATGCGGCTACTGCATCCTTATTTTAATACTAGGACTATCACTAGTCCACCGGCTTTCGCGTGTGGTGGAAGTGGACACACGCCGGAAGATCTTCCACGGCATGATGGTCGCCATGTTCTTCCCGACCGTCTTTATCGACCCAGCGTTTGTCGCTCTATCCTGCACACTGGTCCTCGCCATCTTCCTGCTCCTCGAGCTCTTCCGTGCATCCCAAGTGCCGCCGCTAGCCCGCTGGCTGTCTTACTTCCTCGCACCTTACGTTGACGGCCGTGACCATCGTGGACCCGTGGTAGTGTCTCATATATTCCTCATGCTCGGCTGCGCCCTGCCACTCTTACTAAGCCTGGCCGGTACCTTCCATCAAGGCACAGCTCCATGGGAAGGATGGGATATCGATGGTCGAGATGTCAGCATGGTGAGCGGCATAGTCTGCGTTGGAATGGGCGATGCCGCTGCGTCGCTAGTCGGTCGACGCTATGGTCGACGCCGATGGTTCTGGGGCGGCGACAAGAGCATCGAAGGGAGCGCTTCCTTCGCTGCAGCAGTCTTCATTGGCCTTGTGACTGCCCGTGTCTGGCTGGTTGGTGGAGGATGGGAGGCCCGGGTTGACTGGATCCTGACGATAGTCAAGTCTGCGTTCGCAGCTGTCGCATCAAGTTTCATGGAAGCTGTGCTGACTGGCGGTAACGACAATGTAGTTGTCCCCCTGGTCCTGTGGCTGCTGGTGCGTGGTTTGCGGCTGTGACGGCCTGCAGCTTCTGGCTGACTATATATCAAAATATTTAATGCTCTTTTTGATGACTGTCTGAATATATGATAAGTACATAATGTATGACTAGCAGCTCAGGAGTAACTGTAATGAATATGCATCTCCTTGCCACGTCGACCACGGTCTCGCGCGGGCAGCCAGTAGTCTCTCCGGCGGAAGAATAGCCAGGCATTACTGGCCAGGGAGCATGTCCCAAGGCGAGGTACATCAAGGCCACGGCGGCCTATGTCTGAATTCCACATAGCAACGGGCGCATCCCAAGTACAGAGCAAGTACACCAGTGTGCGTGTGCGTGTGTGTGCCGCATCTGCCAGCCATGCATGGTCCGGGGAAGCCCATCCTTGCATCTCGGGACACAGAAAGCAGTCCAGGCCAGCGAGCCATCCACGTTCACCATGCAGAGCTGTTTCCCTGTACGCCGTAAGCCTTCACCGTGCCTCATGGCGAGCATCAGACGTCTTCGTTCTTCGTCCAGGCTGGCAGTCTTGCCCCTGGGAGCGTCAACAACAGTCCCAGCAGCAGCCATCACACGGCGGGCGCCCTGACTAAAGCCGATCATCCAGCACAGGAGAGCTCCACCTTGGGCCTCCAGCGTCATCGAGGACGAGTCGAGTAACTTTACCTGGAGCTCCGGGCAGCCTGGGAGGTACATGATCCCGCCGTGTGATTTGGCGCTGCGGCTGAAGTATCCCCATCCCATCTCCATCCCATCTCCATCGCCGTCGCCATCGCCATCGCCAGTTGTTTGTTCGAGGTCCCAAAGGTAGCCCCGTGGGTCCCGTGGCCGGCCGATAAGATAAGGTCATTCCTCGCCATTTTGCGTCAACTGCGCCAGAACCGCCCGGCCAGCGACCTCGAACAGCAACCTCGCAACGTCCAACGCCCGCCGCACCGCCAACCGCCAGCTTCGCCAGCTTCGCCTGCACCAGCCATCCGTCCGTCTGCCTCCTCTGGACGTCTCGCTGCTCTCGTCGCCGTCTCACAGTCAAGGGACGGCTCTCCCACGATTCCGTCGCACCGGGGTTGCTTGATCGACTCGTCTGTGGAACATCCCTGCCCTGGCTGCTCCCTGTCCTCCTAGCCCTTCGGTCTTCTCTCTCTCTCTCTTATATATATATATATATATTTATACTTATATCTCTGCATATACACCCTGATCCCTCATACAGCTGGCTGCTATATAACCTGTCATATATAATCAACAACCCGGGGGGCGCGTCGGAGCGATACGACCTGGCTGCCTACACCCAAACACATACAACCGCCGAACAAAGTGGCCTGGATAGCTCCGGTTCGCCAACTGGCTTGGGAATCGACTCGATTAGCATAGTAAGGGCATCTGCCGTCCTTTTGCCTCTGCTTTCTATCCCCATCTCTGTTACTCCTCCCTGTTCGGTTCTACTCACCGGCCTCACTTCCTTTTGCTGCTGCCTTCTTTTGGGCATGGCATCATCCTGGTCATGGGTTGCATGTTCCAGGTGCCTGACTGCTAGTGATGATTTATATAGTGCCTTGCAGAGACCGCTGGCTGACCTCTCTATTCTTCTCCTCATTCACAGGTTGCATTATTTTGGCCTTTATCTGACACTACAGTTCTCTGTTTACCTTCCTGTGAAATCACTCTTTCGTCTGGACCTTCTCTTTCACTCCCTGGTCCGTCTTGCATAAAACACCCTCGATTTCGACCGCGACCTTCACCCTCGACCACCAAGCGTATCCTTTCGCAATCTTCCACTTCTGGTTTTATTTGAATCTCCCTTACTACATCAAACCTCGGCGATAGCTTGGTCGAATAGCTGCCTCAGATGGGCGTGAGACCATACCTTTGACTAAGTAAGGATATTGAATAACGCACCCTTGGTTGGCCACTTAAACCGATGTGCTATCAGATTTGGGGACTCCATAAATCATGGCTACACCATCGGCAGAGAGCTCGAGACGGGCTAAAGCAGTCGTGGATGATGAGCAGATGAATTTGAGAATAGGGCACTACACACGGCTGAATGAGATCGGTCGTGGTAGCTTTGCTACAGTCTATCGTGGTACCCACAATGTAAGGCCCCTCCTCCTCTTCTATATAAATACTCCTGGAACATGTTTGAAGAGTCTGAAAGAGAGTAATCTGACCTAGTTCTTTCATAATAGGAATACAACACCTTTGTAGCAGTCAAATCGGTCACTCTGCTTCGTATGACCCAGAAGCTAAGAGATAACCTAAAGTTGGAGATCGATATTCTTAAGAGCCTTCAGCACCCACACATCGTTGCCCTAATAGATTGCTATGAGACGTCATCTCACATACATATAATTATGGAGTTCTGCATGCTCGGCGATCTCTCCCGCTTTATCAGGAAACGGAACTCCATGGCCAAGCACGAGCTGCTACGAGATATGATGACCAAGTATCCCAACCCACCAGGAGAGGGCCTCCATGATGCAGTTGTCCGCCATTTCTTAAAGCAACTTGCCAGTGCACTTCAGTTCCTCAGAGCGAAGGACTTGATACATCGTGACGTCAAACCGCAGAATCTACTCCTCCATCCTTCTCCCACCATCTGCTCGAAAACCCTAATCCAGTCTGTTTCTTACAAGGGGAGCGAAAACTCGTTCACTCCCATTGCGGGAGTTTCGTCATTTCCTATGCTCAAAATAGCAGACTTTGGGTTTGCCCGGTCTCTACCATCTACATCGCTCGCGGATACCCTTTGCGGATCACCGCTATATATGGCGCCTGAGATTTTGCGCTACGAGAAATATGACGCCAAAGCAGATCTATGGTCCGTTGGGACTGTACTTTATGAGATGGTTGTTGGAAAGCCCCCGTTCAGAGCTGCAAACCACATGGAATTGCTGCAAAAGATCCAGTTGACCAAGGACAGAATCAGATTCCCGCGGGAGACACCAGTTGCCAATGACATAAAAAAGCTAATCCGCAGCCTCCTCAAGTTCAATCCTGTCGAAAGAATTACTTTCCCTCTATTTTTTGGGAATTCAGTTATCGAGGGTGATATCCCTGGTCTGGTAGGTGAAGACCTAGAAGAACAAATAGAGAGAAATGCCGCCCGTGAGCGGCAACGGCTTGAAGGAGATGACCTGGAACCGGAAGGCCTCGAGCAAGAGATACCGGACCGATCAGACACTCAAGCCGAAGACATGGACGATGAGGTTGAAGAGACAAGAAATAAAGCTCCAACTGCAGCTCCAACTCTAGCTCCAGCACCAGCGACTGAACGAACTGAAACTCGACCTGGCCCTCGACCATTAGTGGAACATAACTCACGACCCGGCTCTGCTGTAAGCAGGGTAGATGGACGAGATAAATACGATCTTCAGCGTGCCACAGGTCGTCATACGGAAGATTCCCCAGCAATTCCATCAACTAGAAATGTTCACCCTGTTAGCGAGCCTGTGGTGAGGCAAAGCGATAACCAGCGGTCTTCCAAATCTTCTCTTACCGAGCAGATATCGGGGCCCTCGCAGACTGCTCGTTCCCAAAATGCAAAGCAGTTATCAGAGATAGAAAAGGAGCGTGCTGCTCAAGATATTGCTTTCGAGCGAGATTATGTTGTGGTGGAGAAACGAGCAGTTGAAGTCAATGCTTTTGCGGATGAGCTTGCCGCCAGCCCGAGAGTACAGCAACAGCAATTGAACTCTCGCCAGTCCGGTGCCATTGTTCGCCGGGCTACAACAACAGCTACTCCGCATTCACTCAAAACAAAACATACTCCCCAGCCCGATACCCAAGACAGACAAACTAAGCCAAGAGCCGATTCCACACATAATCGACGATATTCATACGATAGGAGATATGGGCCTAATCCGATTTCTGCAACATCGGCTATCTCCAAGGCTCTTAACATGGCTAGTGGGAGGCTGTTTGGTGTCAGCTTCTCTCCGCCATCCGCGTTGACAAAGGGTGGCCGATCTCCTCCGTTAGGATATAGCCCGTTCCCGACATATCCTGTTGCGCAGAGCAGTTTGGTAGTAGTTGATGAGAAACCGCAACACCTTAGCCATGATTCTAAGACCGTACATATTATCGAGGAATGTGCGACTCGGAGTGATGTTGTTTACGGGTTTGCTGAAGTCAAATACAAGCAACTTATCCCGGCTACGCCTTCGAACAAATCCGATTCCACTATCAAGCCAAGTACCATGGAGCATAGCCCCGATGATGACGGCCTGACGCTTGATGCAGTGCTTACACTATCTGAAGAAGCTTTGGTGTTATACGTAAAGGCTTTGTCCATTCTTGCAAAGGCCATGGATATTGCAGGAGCATGGTGGGCACGGAAGAACCGGGAAGAGAGTATCGGCAGTGGCCTACCACCGTCGAAGACGGAGAAGGACATCGTGATAAGCAGTCGAATTAATAATGTTGTCCAATGGGTCCGGACTCGTTTCAACGAAGTGCTTCAGAAAGCCGAATATTCCCGTCGACGCCTTCTAGAAGCGCAGAAGCAGCTGCCACCAGATCACCCGTACCGCATGTCTCACGAAGTCGGCGAATCAGGAAGCCTCCCAAGTTTTGACCAATCTTCAGACCAAGTCATCATTAGTTCGGGTATCACTGCAGAGAAACTGATGTATGACAGAGCTTTGGAAATGAGTCGGACGGCTGCTATCAACGAGTTGACTGGCGAGGATTTGTCCGGTTGCGAAATAGCTTATGTCACCGCGATCAGAATGCTCGAGGCTGTACTGGAGAGTGATGATTCTTCTCGATCAACTAAAGACCGAGGAACCGCAGACGGAGGCGGTTCAGGCGAACCCGGGATGGAGGATAGTCAAATTCAAGGGGAGGACTGCGAAGTTGTTGCCAAACGTAAGGGTACTTTTTTTTTTTTTTTTTTTTTTGCTACGCTTATGTTGTACTGCATTGCTAACTGCTTTCCTGCAGTCGTCGAAAGCATTCGGGCCCGTCTAAGAGCCCTTCGAAAGAAGATGGCTCTAATGGCAAAACGAACTTCCGCTCCACCGGCTGTACTTTCGCCAAAACTCCCACCATCGCACCCACGGCCAGCATCTCCTGCCATGGCTCATTCGCCATCTAAATGAAGAAACATGTCATTACCCTCGGTTATTGCTAATCCGTGTCTAATCTACCACTTCAATATATTTTTTGAACATCAATTTTGAAACTTTGCCTGCAGCAATCGATCCAGGAACCGGAGTTTGTCGCTTTCGATCATCTACTTTCTGGCATTGCATATCCAGCCTGTGGCCCTCATCATATTAATTACCTACCACCAGACTTCTACCAGTCCCTTTCTCCTCCTCTATTTATCACCCTACACTTAAGTGTGGACTGCCTAAATCAGAATGATATCCTTCAAGCGCTACGCTTTTCTACTTGTTCAATAACCCTTAACTTTCTGCTTTTTCTCTTTTTTTCTCTATCTTTCTTTTACTATGATCATGCAAAGGCCTATGGTATACCCTTCTGCATGAAGTCAATATTGGCTACGGAAGTTAATGAAGGTGGCATTTTTTTTTTTTTTTTCCATTTTTTTTTTATCTTCATTGGGAGCCGCGTCTGGAGTGGTCTTTTAAGATTTGGGGCCTGGCTTCGATTTCTGCCTTCTGCCTTCCTTGTTTCTTTTTGCTGTCTCTCCATTTTTTTTTATTCTTCTCTGTTAAGATCTAGTTTTGATGTGCACTTAACTTACTATGGAGGGCCATAGGTTAATATAAAAAATATTACATACATGTACTTCAAACAAATTTATGAATCTTTTCATCTCTTGCCCTTTTATATTCACGTAGACGAACCGATTGATATGTTCTACGATCATCAGTTCGGATTTTGGGATATCGCCAGCCACGGGTGTTTCCTTCCTATGTAAAGTCTATGTTGCATTTATTTTATTTTATTTTTATTTTTTTTTTTAAACGCATTGGAAGACTCAAAGGCCCTAAACACCGCAAAGAATGCCTTTGCTCCGCAATATTCAGAGGATAGCTTTATCGTATATCCATACACTGTTGTATACATACGTCTGTTATCTTTGGGGGCCGTCTGTTGGTGTTCAGCTTCATCTCCTTCAACGTCATGGCGGGCTCAAGCGATTCCACCTCCGAAGGGGCGTCCTCCAAGACACTGAGCAATTCAGTGACAGAACTACCATCGCACAAGGCCTCAGAGGACTATGGAAGATTATCTTTCGGGGATATCAATCTTCCTCCAATGGATCTTACTATACCTTCTTGTGAGTTTGTGGACATGGACAAAAATGCTTTATCGAATGAAGACTGAGGCTAATATCAGGTATATAGTTGGCAAGAGTACATGTTCTGAGTTCGGCGGCGGAGACTGTGGTACCAGCGAAAATAACACTGACGTTGATACGGTTGTGATCGCTAAAGGACGACAGATTGGCATCGTCAGTGCAACGTTCCTTATATTTAATCGAATCATTGGAACAGGGATATTCGCTACGCCTAGTGCCATCCTGGCCCAGACGGGTAGCGTTGGCATGTCTTTAGTGGTTTGGATTATTGGGATGTTAATTGCAATGGCTGGCACGGCAGTGTACCTTGAATTTGGCACCGCGATTCCAAGGTTTGGGAGTTATACCCCCTTTGTGTCTGTTTAAAATGCCGATGGCCTATCTGGTGGCTGACATATATTAACATAGAAACGGCGGAGAGAAAAATTATCTGGAGTATGTCTACCGGAAACCCAAGTTCCTTGCAACAGCAATTTATGCTTCGTATGCATTATTCCTCGGATGGGCTGCTGGAAACAGTGTGGTATTTGGGGAATACGTTCTGCATGCTGCAGGCGTGGAAGTGAACCGGTGGAATCAACGGGGTATTGGGTTTGGGTGCATAACGGTAGCATTTCTTGTCCATACCATCGAGATGAAATGGGGTCTTCGTCTGCAAAATACACTTGGCTTGCTAAAGCTGGTTGTGATTCTGGTTATCATTGTCAGCGGAGCAGTGGGACTTGCGAGAGGTACACCGGGGAACGCCCCAAATAACTTTTCGAACACCTGGGGAGACAGTCGTCCGAGCGTATACGGCATGGTGACTGCCTTGTACAGCGTTATCTGGTCATATGTTGGTTATTCAAATGCAAACTATGTGAGTAAACTTGCCCGGAATATTCCAGGATTAGCTCTGACATGAACTTATAGTCACTCAGCGAGACTCGAAACCCCATTCGAACATTAAAGATCGCAGCTCCTATAGGAGTTACGTTGGTTGGAATCCTCTATCTGCTGGTTAATATTGCATATTTCGCGGTTGTGCCAAAGGAAGACATCCTGGGCTCTGGACGTATCCTGGCAGCCTCCTTTTTTCGCAACATTTTCGGGCCTAAGGCAGAGAGGGTTCTGTCCATATTTATTGCGCTCTCGGCCTTTGGCAACGTGATGGCAGTGCTATTCTCTCAAGGAAGAAGTGAGCTCAATATGTTTACTCATCTTCCGTACTGCTTTCTAACTAAGTGGTTTAGTTGTCCAGGCACTCGGCGAAGAAGGGGTACTTCCACTGTCCAAATTCTGGGCGAGTAAACGCCCGTTTAACTCTCCAGCTGCCGGTCTGCTGGAACATTATATCATCTCAGCCGTAGTTATGCTCGCTCCACCACCTGGAGATGCATATATCTTTCTTCTCAAGTGGGTATCCCATGACAGTTATGAATTGAATATTGGCTAAAAAAAAAATTTGGGTGATATAGCATGATTTCGTACCCGTTGTCTGTGGTAAATGTCCTGGTAGCTGCAGGACTGATGCATATATACCTTCGGCCGTCAAAGTATCCTGGTTGGGCTCCGGGTATTCGAGCAACATTGCCAGTTACTGGGTTTTTCCTGGTATCCAATATCTATCTCACCGTTGCACCATTCCTCCCACCGCCAAACCTCAAGGACAATATATATGCTTACCTTCCGTACTACTCGCACTGTGTGGCCGGCCTGAGTGTCTTCGTGATCGGCGCGGTATACTGGGTGGTATGGGCAAAGCTGCTACCTTGTATGAAGGTATATGAGATTGCAGAGCACTCCTTTGAGGAGGAGAACGGAGCAACTAGGATGGTGGCAGTAAGGATACCTTCGGCAGCGCCCAGTGCGCCAGATGAGAAGAGAAAAGAAAGCCATTTTGGTTAGAAGAAAACCTGTCCCTCCCAGCCCGCCGTTAGGAAATTGATATCCCTTCCTCCCGTTGAACTATGTGATGAGTGTCATGTAGGGGAATCGTAGCAAGTTGTATTATCCTCCTGACACCTACCGTGTATACTCTCTCCTTTATACAAGAGTCCATTCATTTTATTTAATACAACACAGCTGGTCAAAATCCAGTCATGGCAAAAGAGATGTGCCGACTATTCTATGGAGAAACAGTTCACTTGGAGCAGCCTGGAAAGCCGCGAACCGATCCCCTCAAACTAGCGGGAGAAGTAATCTGGCATTGAAGGGCCATAGACGGCTTCGATTGTAGCCTCGCAGCTGGTCTATATCAAAAAGACGGCCCTTCCTTTGCGTTGATGAGAAGGAAAGAAAAGAGAGAAAAGAGAGAAAAGAGAAAATAAAAAAAATAAAAAAAATCCAATAAAAAAAAGAAGCAAAAAACCGCCAAGACATCCAAAGTGAGAAGAACGAGGTCGCCGCCTCTGATTGGTCAGAAGCTCGAGATTTTCTCCTGCAGGTGAAAAAAAAAGAAGCCGAAGCTGAAGACGTAGAGAAGACGAAGATGAAGATTGAAGACGGCGACAGCTTGATGGAGCTGATACTCTGCGCGAAGAGCAAGGAAGCAAGGACGGGACTTGCTTGTGCATTTTGATCTTCCGCCGCTCGTTTCTCCTGGTTCAATTCGTCGCTCCTTTTTGGTCAATTGAGCCGTGAACTCTCGCTGTCTGGACATATCTGGCTGGTTTTTGATATATAGGAAGACCTCTCTCTCTATATATATAAGCTGCATAAACTGCAACCGTCTCAAGACGGGCGTCTTTTTGCATGCATGAAAGCTCCCGATAGCCTGTCTACCGGTAGCTATTGAGCTCCCCTGTGCATCCCGGCCTGTCCTTTCTCCATCTCCCTGGCCACGCCCGCCGGCAGGATGCTGTCTCGCGCCGCTGGCCTTCGCAGAGGCCCTTCTCTCCTGCGACCGTCAGCGCCGTCTCTCTCTCCTGCTCCGGCTGCCTCGTCTCTATCATCATCGTCATCTCTCTCCGCTATATCTCTCCTGTCGCTGTCGCTGTCGCCGTCGCTCTCTTTCGGTATTACTCAGCCTTTCCGCCGAAGCTTCGTGCGCCCAATCAGGCCCGCGACCTCCCCCCGCCCGCCATCGTCTTTCACCCCGCCAACTTCTGCTACTTCTGCTACTTCTTCTCTTCCTCTCTCCTTGACATCTACAACTTCCTCTCCCTCTGCTCGTCTTCCTCGTCAGTTCAAGCGATTCTGCTCATATAGGAGAATGTGTCATGCAAGGCGAGGTGACGACTGCGCCGCGGGTTCCATGCCCGTGGCCGCTCAGGGCCGCGAGATCCTCCCGGACAACGTGAAGCCGCTGCACTATGACTTGACTCTGGAGCCCAACTTCGAGGACTTCTCCTTCCAGGGATCTGTTCAGATTGAGTATGGCTATCCGTGTTGCCCGTTTTATGAAATGCAAGACTGTTAGTGCTAACTAGATGGTGACCGATAGCCTCGACGTTGTGAAGGAGACGAGCTCTATCACTTTGAATGCCCTTGACATCACTATTGATACTGCTGCTCTTGAGACCAATGGAACAGAAATTGCTACCTCCTCACCAGTTAGCTATGACAAGGACAAGCAGACTGCTACCATCACCCTTGGACAGAAGATTGCTGCTGGCTCCAAGGCCAGGTTGAACCTCAAGTTCACAGGCACCCTGAATGACAACATGGCGGGTTTCTACAAATGCTCTTACAAGGATGCCAATGGCAACCAAAAGTACATGGCCTCCTCCCAGATGGAGCCTACAGACTGCAGACGCGCCTTTCCTTGCTTCGACGAACCCTCTCTCAAGGCAGAGTACACTGTCACCCTCATTGCAGACAAAGACATGACCTGTCTGAGCAACATGGACGTGGCTTCAGAGACCGAAGTCAAATCCACCATGGTCAGCCATCCTCGAAAGGCTGTTAAGTTCAACAAGTCCCCACTTATGTCAACTTACCTTGTGGCTTTCATTGTTGGCCACCTCAACTATATTGAGACAAAGGCCTTCAGGGTGCCAATTAGAGTGTACGCTACCCCAGACCAGAACATCGAGCACGGAAGGTTCTCGCTCGACCTTGCTGCCAAGACCCTGGCCTTCTATGAGAAGGCCTTTAACAACGAGTACCCGTTGCCCAAGATGGATATGGTTGCTGTTCCCGACTTTGCTGCCGGTGCTATGGAGAACTGGGGTCTGGTCACCTACAGAATCGTCGATGTCCTGTACGACGAAAAGACCACCGGTGCTGCTACCAAGGAGCGCATTGCCGAAACTGTGCAACACGAGCTCGCTCACCAGTGGTTCGGAAACCTGGTCACCATGGACTTCTGGGATGGCCTCTGGCTCAACGAGGGCTTCGCCACGTGGATGTCGTGGTACTCGTGCAATGTCTTCTATCCAGAGTGGAATGTCTGGCAGACATACGTTATCGACAACTTTCAACAAGCTTTGTCTCTTGATTCCCTTAGAAGCAGCCACCCTATCGAGGTACCTGTAAAACGTGCAGATGAAATCACTCAGATCTTTGACGCTATTTCCTACTCCAAGGGCTCTGCTGTCCTTCGAATGATCTCCAAATACATGGGCGAGGAAAAGTTCTTAGAGGGTGTAAAGGCATATATCAAGAAGCACGCCTATGGAAACACCACCACTAGTGATCTATGGGCTGCCCTCAGCGAAGCCAGTGGTAAGCCTATCGACAAGGTTATGGATATCTGGACTAAGCAGGTTGGTTTCCCTGTTCTTACAGTAAAGGAGAACAAGGAAAACAGCAGCATCACCGTCCAGCAGAACCGTTTCCTTCGAACTGGAGACGTCAAGGCCGAGGATGACAAAACGCTTTACCCCGTCGTCCTGGCTCTGAAGGGTTCTGATGGCATTGACCAGTCTGCTGTCCTTTCACAGCGATCCGAAGAGATCAAGGTTGATCTCGACTTCTACAAGCTCAACGCAGACCACTCATCTCTCTTTAGAACATGTTACACTCCCGAGCGCCTAGAGAAGCTTGGAGAGGACGCCAAAGCCGGTCGCCTTACTGTCGAAGACAAGGCTGGTATGATTGCCGATGCTGGTGTCCTTGCCGCTTCTGGCTACCAGAAGACTTCCGGCAGCTTGTCTCTCCTTAAGGCGTTTGATCAAGAGAACGAATTCGTTGTATGGAATGAGATTCTCACTCGCCTCGGTTCCATCCGCGGTGCCTGGATGTTTGAAGATGAGGAGACCAAGAACGCCCTGAAGACATTCCAGCGCAATTTGGTCAGCCAAAAGGCTCACGAACTCGGTTGGACATTCAGCGACAAGGACGGTCATGTTCTGCAGCAGTATAAGGCTCTCATGTTCAGCGCTGCTGGCTCTGCAGGTGACGAGAAAGTCGTTGCTGCTGCCACCGAGATGTTCAAGAAATTCTCTGAGGGTGACTACGATGCCATCCATCCCAACATCCGTGGAAGCGTCTTCGACATTGCCCTCAGAAACGGTGGCGAGAAGGAATGGCAGACCGTCTTTGACCGATACAAGAATGCACCCACCTCTGCCGAAAAGAACACCGCTCTCCGCTGCCTTGGTTCCTGCGAGAAGCCAGAAATTGTGCAGAAGACTCTCGACCTCACTCTTTCCGAAGAATCCAGAATCCAAGATATCTACATGCCTATGTCCGGCCTTCGCTCCCACTCCGCTGGTATACTAGCACGCTGGAAGTGGTTGCAGGTTAACTGGGAGCCATTGACTAAGAGGCTCCCTCCTGCCTTCTCTATGCTGGGATCTGTTATTCAGATCGCCTGCGCTAGCTTGTCTACCGAATCGCAGCTGAAGGAAGTAGAGGAGTTCTTCAAAGACAAGGACCACAAGGTAAGATACTTTTTTAAAAACTGATCTAATTTTATTAGTTGGCTTTCTGCTAACTAGCACACGTATAGGGCTATGACCGATCCCTGGAGCAAAGTCTCGACTCCATTCGCGCTAAGGCTGGCTGGCTGTCGCGTGACCGTGGGGATGTGGAGAGCTGGCTCAAGACGAACGGATTCAAAGCCTAAATCAACTATTAAATAACGTATCCTTCTGTGAGATGCATACTTTAAAGGCTCTCGGCAGAACAGATACCCTGGCCATAAGAGCCTTCCTATAGGTTGACAAACGATCAATCTTACATTCGTTAGGACATTGTCCTTATGTTATGCATGACGGAACCTACCTATGGTTACCGCATCGTAGCCCAAAGGTTAGGGTGTATATAGATATATTTCGAGAGAAGCCACCCTCCTTTAAAGTCGTAGACGCTGCGCCTCAATGAAAAATCTTCACTTCTTTAGATCATATATATCGTATCTTACACTGGTTATTTACCATCCGCTACCACCACCTTTGCCGGCAAACCCAGAGCTCTCTTCAATTTTCTTCTGGCCTGCTGCACCCATTCCTCTAATCGGTTTAGACTGAGCAGCTTCATGCTTGCGCAGTTCCTCCGGTACTCTTGATATAGACGATTTCATAAGCATTTGTTTAAGATCATAACTGCAGACAAAAGTTAGTAATTAAGAACCAGTATCAATAAGGGGAGTGTTAGGGAATCAACATACAGGACATCATTATCTTCACTACCAAGGAATGTGATTGCAACACCACTCTTCCCTGCACGACCAGTTCGTCCAATACGATGAGTATAACTTTCAATATTCGTAGCCATATTGAAGTTAACCACCAAACTGACGTCTGGAACATCTATACCACGACCGGCAAGATCTGTGGCAACCAAAACATCCGTCGATCCGTTACGTACGGATGCAAGAGCCGCTTCTCTCTGCTCCTGAGTCTTAGAACCGTGCAATGTGACAGCCGAGAAGCCCATGTGTTTAATATCTCGCGCGACAGCATCACAGTTTCGTTTGATGTTGACGAAGACAATAATCGGAGGACGGTATTCACGTGAAGTTAGAATTTCCGCAAGACGTTTCTTACGCTTGTCTTCTCCTGCAACGAATTCAACCCGCTGCTCGACGGTATCAACTGCTTCGCCGATGTTACCTATCGTAACTATTGCGGGGCGACGAAGGTATTTCCTTGCTATCCGTTCAACGGCTGAAGGCATGGTGGCAGTGTACATCATCGTCTGTCTATATCGGTCCTTGCCACCAATATGTTGGCTCATTGCCTGGGCGTTCTCAGCCTCTTCTGTATCAGGTTTCTCATTTGATACCGGAAGTGCATCGAGAATTTTATTCACAGGTTCCTCAAAGCCAAGATCAATCATCCTATCTGCTTCATCCATAATGACATAGCAGCATTGACTGAGGACGAGTATTCGTCTCTCAATACAATCGACCAGCCGACCCGGGGTAGCAATGATGATTTCGGCTCCGTTGCGTAGATTATATGCCTGCTCTTCAAGCGAGTGACCACCCACAATACTCACAACGTTGAAGTTAAGTGGCGCAGCAAATTTCATAGCTTCTATTTCGATCTGCTGGGCAAGTTCACGAGTGGGTGCTAAAATAATGGCGTAGGGGCCGTCATTCCGTCGCCATTCAAACTCATCTAGCCGCGGGAGGGAGGAGATGTAAACAAGCAGCGGTAGTAGGAATGCTGCTGTTTTACCCGAACCGGTGACAGCAACACCGATGAGATCCCTGTTCTGCAACGCAATTGGTATAGAGACTCTCTGGATAGGCGATGGGTCCTTGTACCCGACAGAGTCAATAATTTCAAGAAGCCTCTTGGGAAGGCCCGATTCAGACCACGAACGCATCGGGTTCGGCAAACCACCACCCTTTGTGCTGATGTTGAAGTCTTCTTTAAATATTCGCCAATCTCTTTCTCGCATGTGTTCCAACTTCTTCTCACTCCAGTGGGCATCAATAGCATTTCTCCCACTCTCCTCCTTTCTTCGTCTTTCCATCTCCAATATCTCTCTTGCTCGGACACTTCCAGCTTCAAGGTCCCTGTCCTCCAAAGCCCTTGCATACCTTCTCACCGAGTCATCTACCACTTCATCTGCAAAACCAGCCAGTCTACCACGACCGAAAAAGTTTGCCTCAGAGCGATTCTGGTATAGTGGGTTGTAGTCAGGGCTAGTGTCTTCTTCCGCATTCCATTCGAAATTGAATTTCCTTTCGGTAGTTCGCCGCCGTTTCTTCTTCGCCGAAAAGCTAGATCTCTGGTCTGCGCCCATATATCTCTGTCGAATGAGCTGTGCTTGAGCATCTTCTGGTAAGGCCCGTTTCTCCCCTTTGTTTCCGGAAGCAGATGCCGAAGAACTCTGTTGATTTTTATCATTACCCTTCTGGTTTGACCTCATGGAAGCCGGTCCAGTCGGTGCATCGTGTCTCAACGCACGGGGACCTGTAGGGATGTGCCTCGAACCATCATTCCTACCAGTCTCACCAGTCCGAGAAGCAAAAGCTGAAGAGTACCCATTTGTCTCTATATCTGGAGTTCTTGAATCCGACCCAGAATTACCATTGGCTGCTGACTTCGCTCGGCGAACGCTGTCCACTTCTTTCATTCGTTTTTCGAGCGCAATCTTCTCCCTCTGTGCTTTACTAAGGAATTTGGGCTATTAACAAGAATATATGTTAGTAACTTGCCCTACAGATCATCCCGATGTGGATATTAAACAACAAGAAGGAGAAGAGGCACGCAAGGTGTTATGCTGGTCAAGAAGATTCGACGGATTAACATACCTTTGAAGCTGCCTCGTCTGCTTCTTTTTTCTTCCGGAGCAATTCCTCAACACTTAGAGGAGTCGCCGCTTTTGTAGTTCCCCATCCTTTCTTTTTCTTGGGCTCTGAAGGGGGAGGGGGGGGAGGGACCAGAGTATCTGGGGGTGGAGGAGGAGCCGGGATATCTGGCGGCGGCGGCGGAGGCAAGCTATGGTCGGCAGGAGGGGGAGGTGGAGGAGTCGGAGGCCGTTCGACGGGCTCTGGGGGAGGCTGCGGAGGTTCTATAGACCCATAGCTACTGTCTGTTATCCCGTCCATCATTAAATATAAGCAGTCCCTGGTTCTTGTTTGCCCGGCGGAATTCAAGACTTGAAGGAAGCTCGAAGCTTTTCTGATAAAGCGCGAAAGTTGATCGTCTTACGTCAGCAATACGCTAAACCCAAATAGGACATCAATTTCGACTACCACAAAAGCAAAAAAGAAGAAACGCCGGTTGATATATCGTTTATGTACATTGCAAGTCGTGAAAAGGGGTCTCATACTATATACAAAAGGGAGTCTTTATTAAAGCATTATTCATTTCTTTTGACTTTTTTCATCGTGATAGGTTCTGGGGCTGGGGAGATGCCCCGTTCAGTCTGGGGCTACTCTGGCTTTCCTCTGACCTGTTGAGGCTCTCCTCGTCATTTTTAACGGGATACCCCCATTTCCGGAAGGCCATGTCTTTCTGGTTGATGAGTTCTTCGTGGCCAGACCGCTTGGAGCGATTTATCATGCTAATTGTGGGGGTGAAAGAAGGCCGTGAGTTCTTGGAGAAGAGGCCGGTACGCGAAGAGAAAAATTGCCTAACTGCAGGCATACTGGAAGCTGTGATGCCAGCAAACATCTCGATCTCCCTATATGTTTTTGTTAGATATGGATACAGAACAAAATTTCGGTTATATAGCTGGCTGTCTTACGTCCAGAGCAAAACGTATCCGACTTTCCATGATGCATCGCTTACATCGTTTTGGAGGAGGACACGATAATAAAGGCTCACACCCGAGGCTGCCACGGCACTAAGAATATGTCAGACTTTTTCCTGCGAAGCCTATAGTGGGTTGCACGGAGATGACTTACAGGCCACCAGTCATGAACACTAGTATGATACCAATCTTCTTCGCAGTTGACAGCTGCAGCTGCCATACAGCGGGCATTGGGAGTATAAATAGGACAACATCGACCAGCGAACCAATGATGCCGGTAGGAATGGAGAACTCGGCGAACTTGAGATAGTGCCATGAGAGGATACAGTCGAGGATAGACTCTCCCGGCCATGGGCTGCTCAGCACGAAAGACGAGATCGAGGTAGCGATATAAAAAAGGCCAGATAGTGTTGCCCCCACATATACGCTAATTCTTACATACCTCCTTACTTTGAATAAGAGGTAGTATTGAATGAAAAGGCTGAGTTTGATCAGTCCTAGGGCTGGCGTTGCTGTGATAACTGTGATGTAGCTTTGCTGCTCTAGTTATCAGCAAATGTCCAATTAACGAACCTAGGGGCTTAATACATACATAGAGATGGGCATTTCCAAGGAGCTTATCGAGGTGCACCTCCCACTCGTGTCTTCCGGCGATTCCATTAATACAACCTTTATAGGGGTTAGTCTGGAACGAGAAAATGTTGAACAGGAACCCGACGTCACTTACCATTTAGTGTCGCCGCATAATATACGAGACTGAATAGCTATATTTTTATTGTTAGACCTATTTTATTGACACGAGGGTATGATCGTGACGGCTCACAAATCCTATGGATATTGTCACTTATGAAAAAGCAGTCAGCCTGGGGTTCACGCTTAACCATCTACCACCACTGGAGTCTACTTACAGTCATCCCACTTCCATGTTTTCGAGATGGCGAGTCGAGTGTACATGCGAATGAAGAAGCAGAAGCAGGCCATAGCCAGGAACGCTGTCCCTACTCCTACAATGACCGGTACTTGAGACACTGGGTCATCGAAATTCGGCGTGACGCCAGGTGGTGGTTTACCGCCTGGGATAGTCGACAGAAGCTCTGGCGGAATGCTCTTGAGAGCACTGGCGTCTGGAGTTTTAGACATCGCCGCTAGCTTGCTAACTAACTAGTTCGATCCGAGGTCTCGATGTTGCTGAGCGCAGATTTCGATCATGCCAAAAGATCGCAGAAGGATTTGTAAAATTGAAAAAAGAGGCCTTACCAACAAGCCGGGCGCTTCGACGTTAATATTGAAAATATTGCCCTCCAGCAAGGCTGCGCAAGCACCTTATGTATATCAGGACAACCCGGAGGGCTGCGAGGCTGTGAGAACCCACAACCAGGCCTGCTTGCCGCTGTACCAGGGTTTCGTTTCTTCTTCTGCCTGCCACATGTACTGCATGGTGAGGGGGGCCATGTTCGTTTCCTCAAGATTACTGGGCGCCTGCTGGTCCGTTGGGGGCCATCTGTCTAACACGATGCCCATGCGGAGCGGTCGAAAAGTCAGCCATTGCCAGCGGCACAGCAATGATCCCTGCCACTGCGGCTGATCTCTCACATATCGACCGGGATTAAGGCGTGGTATTTTCGCATCTGCACCTGAACAACACCCTGTATTGCCCTCCAGGTGTTCCACACGCACTCCGTATGTGCGTGAAGGATTTTAAATTTCGTCGGTTTCCTCTAGTGCAAGAAAATCGTACTCGCCGTGGTTAGCGGTGGATATTGCAGAGCTCTGTTCCAGGCTATTCTACGCCAGGAATTGGTCCGCTCATATTTGGAATTAAGGTAGACCGGGCCGAACTCCCTGAATGAATGTATTTCTGTCGTTCAATACACTTTACGTTTTACGAAGCCCACCACAGCCATGATCTGCTCTTCTTGCTAGTTACCCGCCTCTCCTTTTTCCTTAAAACTCAGCCCCCAAGCCCCTACTCCTCATGGACCTGGCCACAGACATGATCAGCATGGAGGAGGCTGAATGGCCTTTGCCTTGCTGTGGATGATATGCATGTCGTAAGTATTGTGTATGCATACGGAGTACTGTTTCTCGAAATAGGCATATGAAGACCTGGGATACGCCCAGCTCTTGTCCACCACTCAGCTTTCCCCATATCGTCGGGCCCCAAAAGTCACGCAAGCTAAGACACTGCCAGAGAAAAGGCGGGCTGGCCAAGGCTAGCCAGGGGTGGGATGCTGGAGGGGCCAGTTCAGCGTCCCGCTGTGTCTTGGTCCATTGATAAGAGCGATGGTATCCATGTGGTGAGAAGAGACAGTTTAGCAGAGAGGGAGAGACAACAGCGAGAGACACAGGGATAACGTGTGGTTGAATAGATTTTGAACCCGCCCATCATGCACACTGAACCACCCAGCAAGCATATTGTCACAATGGCAATCCCAGTACTACCCTCATTCTCGAAGCTGGCTTCGACTGTTGACTCTCGAGGTTGGAACTGGCACTGGTATCACGTAATATACCTCTTTTTGGCATGGCAGACAGCGCAGATATTGTGGAAGTTCTGGTGGAAGGCTCCGGTATGCATACCTGGATTGGACCGGTAACGCTCATGGTGTTAATATTGACGTGGCCGTTTAGTCCAACGTCATTATTGCCGCATACCCTACGCCGTTAGGAAGGTTTTTGACGGCATTGCATATGGTATTTGATTCTGGAGCGCTCCTTGAAAAAGCGTACGAATCGGTATGTGTTTCCGTGAAGAGATCCTTTGGAGTCACTAAAAGGGCAAGTGGTTAATATGTTCCAGGCCGGCGGAAAACCGTTTGCGATTCCCATGCTAGATCGCTGGATTATTTTTGTTTCCAACACAGAGACCCTCAAGCAGCTCGACCGTGAACCCGAGCATGTTCTATCACTACAGCAAGCTCTGCATGAGGTAACGTCGCCCTAAATTCTTTGCAGTGGTGGCTGAAGAAATCCGCTAAATAGAAATATGTAGCTCGCGTCCACAGGACCAATATTAGGACCCCATCAAGTAAAAATAGAGAACAAGGGAACACAGAGCGAAGTCTCTCGTGTTGTGGTTGGCGTGTTGAAGAACAAGCTCCGTTCAAATATTCCTTTGATGAGTGATACCCTTCGAGAACGAGTTAGGAAATCAATGGCTCTGGAGATGTCTCCGCCAGCAAACGGTATGTTGGGGTTTTGAAGGATGGCTATACGGGACAATTTGCTAACAGATTATACCATGACCAGAGGCTTGCGAGAAGAATGAATGGAGACAAGTTAGGCTTATGCCAGTACTCCTTCGCATCTTTACCAGTGTAAATCTTCTTCCTCTGGTTGGTGAAGAACAAGGTGTGTATGGTATCTCTCCATGTCTATTATCATACAGTGAAGCTGACAGAGGACAAAGCCAACCGCCCTGAAGTGTACGACGATGTGATGAACTTTTTCTGGAGCTGTGCCCGGGCTTTTCCCATCGTAGATATGATGCCCAGTTTCCTCACACCGTTCGTTATCACCCCCCTGAACTACATCGAAATATAACTGACTAGATTGTTGCAGGTTCATCGGGCCAATTGCCATGGGCTGGGGCGTAACGAGAACCAAAGTATACGACCTCTTGTTGTGGCATACTACGAAGGCTCTTGAAGATAAGGAGGTTGGCAGAGAAAAACAGGTATGAACGGTCCCCCTCTCTCGCATGGCAATAAGGAGAAAGGGGGAAAAAACGTAACTAACAGATCTTAAGCACGCTGGGGGCCACGTCGCACAATGGGCTTCCGAAATAACAAAACTTCGAGATGCAGCAGAAGTGGCCAAGATATCACTTGGACTATTATTTGCGAGCGCATTCCAAGTGCCGATGGTAGGTCAAGGCTAATATAACCCCCGCGTGTGTCACCATCCATACTGAAGATCCGGTGGCACAGGTTGTTCAGTTCTGTATACACAGACTATGTAGGCATGGGGAGTACACAGACAAGCTCAGACAAGAAGCTCTCGAATGTGAGAATCTTTCTTTTGGCGCGATGAACCGAGAGATGCCTTACCTGGACAGTTTCATGAAAGAGACCTCTCGTCTGAGTCCCGGCCCAATCGGTAAGTCAGCCCTCAGTTCCTCCATCTCCGGTATGGCTGTAGAAAAAAACCATTACCTAACCCCTACAACAGTAAGTGCACCTCGTACAGTCATGGTACCGTACACAATGGAGGATGGCTGCCACATCCCAGCCGGAAATTGGATCGCCATACCCCAGCTTGCCCTCATGCGTGACGAGAAAATCTGGCCCAACGGTAAGGAATTCGAGGGATTCCGTTTTGTCGACGAGCAAGGCGATGCGTCAGAGTCACGGTTCACCCATCCAAGTCACGAGTTTCCCTTCTGGGGTTCAATAAAGCATGCATGGTAAGTTTTACTCGAACTTCCTCGGAATTTCGGACTTGGCTGCGACAACGTGCTAACCTCCGGACCAGCCCTGCACGCTTCTATGTCTCCGTTGTCATCAAAATGGTCCTGTCACATCTTCTTCTAGACTACGACTTCAGACTCGAAAACCCAACAGCGGCCCCGTTCCTGACCTTTGGCAAGGTCAGAGTGCCTAGTCCCTTTATGACGCTGCTCGTCCGGAAGCGCTCCACTGGCTCGAGGGTGTAAACCGGGGTTCAGCCTAGCCGCGGAGATCCGGTATGCTCCTCCCCCTCATGATGAAGATTCTGAAGGATTTCTCCTTATCTATTTCGCTTCCGTGTCTTGTCATAGGCCCGGCATCAATTTTTCCATCAATTCTCTGTATTAAACTTTCTGTAATTATTATTAGTATTATTATTTTTTGGGTTGTCGAAGGATGAAGGTTTAGACATGTGGGGAAAGAGTTCGCAAGACCGAAACTTAAATGCACATGCTTAAAATCTTATTTTTTTCTTTTCTTAATAATGACGCAGTTGGTGGTCGATCTTTCGACAAGGTGAACGCGCGTGGGCTGAGACGGCTTTGTGATGCAGAGCGTGCAGCTGCAGCCTTGGGACCTGGTTGGAGATTAAGAGGGGGGCATTGTCGCGCATCAGAGGCAGCTGTCACACAGCTACGGGGTAGCTGGGTCTGTGTTGGTGTTTGTTGCAGGGCGCGCTGCTGCCTCTTCTACCCCCAGCCTTGCTCCATTCTGTATCTGTGAGAACCCAAGGTATTGAGAAAGAAGAGAAGAAGACGACAGCGACCAGACAGGGCAAAATGACCGCTACATCTGTTACTGCGGCTCTCCTGATTGCTGTTTCTGTCTTCTTTGCCATGCGCCGTTTGCGCGGAAGTCCAAAGGAGCTTAAGGAGCCGGAGCTTATAGTTCGCTCGTCGGAAGCTGCCATACGACTCAACAAGCTCCCCGCATCTGCCTTGCCTGAGGACGTTGTGATTTTGCCTCAAAATGCTGCGACCTTCAGGAAGTCGATGAACACATACTGGGCCCAGCAGGAGTGTGAGGTCGTGCCTGCGTGTGTTGTCCGGCCTCGGAATATCGACCAGCTCTGCGCAGCCGTCACTATTCTTAAAGGGGAATACGACAGACGAAGGAGGTCAGAGGATGGGGAAGGTAGTATTAAGGAGGGTGGCTTATTTGCTGTCCGTAGCGGTGGTCATTCAGCTGTCTCTCATGCCGCGAGCATCGAGGACGGTGTGATGATTGATATGAGCCTATTCTGCGACGTGACCCCATCGAAGGATGGGTCGAGCGTCGTAATCGGTGCGGGAGCTAGATGGGGTCCAGTTTTCGAAGCTCTGGCTGCGAAGGGTCTTGCTGTTGCTGGTGGACGAAACTCACATGTTGGTGTCGGCGGCTTGACATTAGGAGGTATACGAGTATCATTCCCATCATTGCTTTGCAGCACTAGAGCTAACGTTAACGGAATACAACTAGGTGGAATCTCCTTCTTTTCTCAACGTGTCGGTTCGGTATGCAACAACGTTCTGAGCTACGAAGTCGTCCTGGCCTCTGGGACTGTTGCCACAGCCTCACCTACTTCTAATCCCGACCTCTGGCGGGCCTTGAAAGGTGGTGGTAACAACTTCGGTATCCTCACTAACATTACTCTACGCTGCTTCCCTTCTACCGACATATGGAGCGGTTTCCTCTATATGCCATCCAGTAGTGCTCAAAAAGCCCTGCATGCGTTCCACGACTTTGTCCACAGAGCTCATCCCGACAATACTGGAATTACTTATGACCGCCATGCGTCCGGTCCGATCGCATGCTTCACTTACTTGCAGCAACTTGGTATCCAGGCTGTCTCAGTCAACCTCGTCTACACGAAGCTCCCTGAGAAGAAGAACAAATGGCCTGAGTGTTGGGAAACTTCTGGATTCAAATCACTTTGGCGCTTCTGGAGTACTTGCAAGGTCCGCCCACTCGCAGATGCTTGCGATGAAATGAACTCCCTTAATCCTCCTGGTAGACGTCAGGTGCTTGCTACCACCACCATCAAGAATGACATGGCAACGCTACAAGCAGTCTACGCTGCCTATAAAGACGCTATTGCGCCTATCAAACAGGCTAATATCAAAGGCATGTCATGGACGCTCGTTTTGCAGCCCATGCTAGCAAACTGGGCTGGGGATGGCTGTGACGGAAACCCCTTTGGCCTAGCAGATACCAAGGAGCCTCTTGTGATTGTCTCCTTTACCGTCAACTGGATTGAGAAGAGTGACGATAAACTCTCTGAGAAGCTAACTCGTGACGCGATTGAGCAGATCGATGCTGCTGCCGCTGCCAACGGAACTGGCCACCGGTATCGATACATGAACTACTGTGGAGACTGGCAGAGGCCGTTTGAGGGATACGGAGAGGAAAACGCACAACTCTTACGCGACATAAGCAAGAAGTATGATCCGGAGGGCTTGTTTCAAAGGGGCTGCGTAGGTGGGTTTAAGCTTGATATAGAATATAGCTAAGTCATACGGTAAAGTCGATTTATTTTCTTTCACCATATATGGTCTTTGACTCTGTATTGCCTAGTATATTGAGAAGCCCCAAAGAGCTAGCTCGAATGTTAAATCTTTGTAAAGCAGTTCCATCTCTACCAGTAGCCTTGTGTTGACACTGTATACTTGCATTGTATAGATTAAATAAAGACAAGGAAAATGGCTTCCTTTATCTATTTGGGAGTTACTAGTTTTGTTTACTTCTTAATCGTACCCTTAGTAGAAGGGGGCGATGTTCCCTTGAACCGGGATGGAAAGACAAACTCTACCTCCTATGCACATACTGGTTAGAGGGCCCTTGGTTTGGCTGTTTCCTCTATTTACACCCCCATCGTTGCCGTTTTCAAGCCTGGATGCTATTTATCTGTATGATTACATCAAAGCTTAAGATAACTACTGTAATAAAGGCCCTCTCAACAGTGAATTTGCAACTGTATTTGATTTATTTCTCGCTACTAAATAGGAGAATTGGTGGGAAGGGGAAGGAGCAAAAAAAGAAAAGAAAAAAACTGTAAACCGCCCAACCGACTGAGACGCCCATTGTAGATTACAAAGTCCAACTAATATTGCGTATGCCACTAATTAGCGAGTGGAAATTAGACAGTTGGAGTTGGGACAGAAACATCAGGTCTGAACATAGAATTAGGACTTTGTTGGCCAATCACAAGCTTGTCCTGTGTCTCCTTTGAAAGTGATGACTTCATAATTGATTGGACTGACGGCGGACCATTCACTTCACGGTTAAGGGTGATGTACTCTTTGGCAGCTTCACTGGACCCTCGCTCCAGCAAGTAAGTCATATAAAGCTGAAGAAGCTCCTTAGCTGCCTCGGCAGGCAATGAACTTTTGTTGCGAATATCATCGATAACCTGCTTGATGCGTTCGTATTGTGCGGGCTCAGTTTCAGCGCTAGTTGGCTGTTCTAGCTCAAACATAAGATAGCTTGTCCAGAAAGGACGGCTATCAGGATACCAGTGTTGATTCTTGCGGAACACCTGTCGAGCTTCATCAGCGGTACCTTTGACCCTCCAAAGGAGCTTGGCCCATTCAGCCACAAGTGCTGCTTTTGTCTGAATATCACACTCTGCTGAGTCTAGTTGGGTTTTGTATATCTCGATGGCTGCATCTAAGCCACCATGGCGACGTGACAAGTTCGCAAATGATATTATGGTTTCAATGTGTCCAGGCATAGCAAGGAGGACAGCATTGTGAATATCCTTAGCAATATCGACTCTTGAAGCCATTTCTTCAAAGTAGGCATAGTGGAGTCGGATAGCTGGGCGAGATATGGGGACGTATAGGGAACTGGCCTTTTGATAGATGATTCTAACTTCTTCTTCCTTTCCTTCTTGGCCAGACATCCATGCCGCGTAACGCATCCAGAATTCATCGTAGTGCGCACATGTCACAAGACATCTCTCGTACAGAAACTGGGCGCGGGCGAAAGAACCCTCTGCCTCCTCAAAATCTAAGTACCTTCTCCAGTTGGATAACTGACCTTCATCTAGTTCAGTAACATGAAAGTAAGGCCGTTTGATTTCTGACTCGTAAGTCCATCGTTTTGTCGTTTCCGTCTGAGTGCGTGAAAATATTTCGAGGAAATGACCATCGGCTCTTAGTCGGATGTCCCTTTCGATTTCAGCCTCACTCCTCGAACCAGGAGGTACATTACCCGCCGCATTTTCTATTTCAGCTCGAAATTGAGCTAGAGTTTCAGGAGGAAGCAGCTCGTTCAAAGGTCTAGTTTGAGCGAGTTGTCGATACCGTTCGAAATACCTAGCATACTGGTGCATTGGTATCTGGATAATTTTGCCAAGCACTGCAAATATCTTGTCAGGACATTCAACGCGCTCCTCGAACTCGAGATACTTGTCCCAGAATAGATGTGACAAGAAATCAAGACCAACGCAACTGACGCCTCTCTCAAAGAGCCTATAGTAAGAGGGTCAGTAAAAATTAAGCCCAGAAAGAAGATAAAAAAGGGTAAGGAAGAGAAGGGGACAGAAGGAAGGGTGGTGGAAAGGATGTCAAACATGGCATATGCATTTAAAATCTTCAAAGTGAGGTGCCGAGTTAGATCAACGATTGATAGAGGTAGGTGTTACTATATCATCCGTGCGTGACATAGGAGAAGGATTCTCGAACAATATCCAACTAGTGTGCGAAGCAAAGGCAGCCTGAATCTTATGGGTAAGAAGTAGTTTCAACGAAACTGAGGTGGCAGATGACTATCTCACCCATTTAAGGAACCTTGATATTATCGATCTGCCCCATATGACCTCAAGATTGCGAACGACTCACGCGCTATGTCGGTATGGTTATAGGGAAGGGGACCAACATATTATACTTACTCTCGAATAATATCGGTATCGTGCGAGGTTTCGACCTTGAAAGTACAGTAGTTTGTCCAAAGGTCAACCGAATTTGTAATGCTAGCAACTCCGCGCTCGTACACCTAAACGGAAGAAGATGGTATGGATCAGCATATGCGATTCTCAGAGAGCATGAAATGTGAAATGCTAACCATCTCGGCGGCCTCGGTGCCAGCAATAGAGAATTCTAGGTCCGCATATTTCTTCCAGTACCCAAATAAAAGAGGGAATTTCGCAAGGAACCGATCGTATACAGTTCTTGTAGCTGTGATAGCCTGAGGGCTTGAATTACGATTGATTCCGCCTTCTTGGCCCTCAGCTGCGCGCACCAGTTTCTCCCATGCCTCAAAGCTGTCGGTATCCTCGAGCTGTATCAAAAAAAAATGTGTCAGCAAAGCCATGTAGATTAAAGAGATTATCGTATTCTGCGAAGACTCAAGGAACTCAACGTATGCTTACCACTTCAGCATAGAGCTTCTTCAACTCTTCATTCTCCTCGTCGGTCCCACCAAAGAGCAAGTCTGCCATGTTTCTCCAAATCACCAGCAATAAGATTTTTCAACTGATAGTCACGGTCTCTACAGCACGAAAATACGGTGAACCGGCTTTTCTTTGTCGCTTTCTTCTGTGGAAATGAAATGTAGCTCAGCGCGCGTTGAGCGTCAAGTGAGAAATTGACGTCGGGAAGAACAGAGAGGCGCTAACGAAAAAGCGGGCAAGATTATGTAAGAAATAGGGATAGCCGCGAGCATCACGTGAGTCAAAAAGCTTTTGCGCGCAGAGAAAGACTGGAAAAGTGAAAGGTCGAAGACGAATATTGGCTGAGCTGCAATAATTCCAACAGGGCGAATTGAAACAGGCATTGTACCCCTCTGCAGCCTGAATATGACGACTCAAGCAGCAGTTAGCCTCGTTGAGGGCCTCCCGCTCCGGCTTCGAAATTTCTTCGCCCGCTATCCACCACAATACTATTCTTCGCAAGCTATACCGAAGGTCCTACCACAGCAAGAAACGTTCTCTAGCAGCTCTGAATCATCTGCAGTCATAAAACCTGCTCCCAGCCCATTTGCATCACGAAATACCAAGGTCAAACTTTCGAAGACCAAAGACGCCGACTCCGTTTCATATACAGACTCCCTCCTCCGTTCCGACCCTAGCGGGCTATACCCAAACCCTTTCCTTCCATATAAGAACCCGGAAACCGGGCGATGGCGAGGAGCTGTGATATCATTGCGTCGACAGGCGGAATTGGTGAAATTAGGCATCAAATATGGCGTGGAAGAACTATTGCCTCCAGGTCGAAAATCAACAGAGTATAAGCATGCAAGGCTTATTGAGAAGGGTCTCAGAGTCAAGGGTACTGGTATCGGCCAGAAGGTCAAGGGTCACAAGTGGGAGAGATCCATGAAAGGCAAGTTGGAAGAGAGGAAGAAGGCTATGTTGGAAATGCCAGAAATGATCCGGTTATGGAAACAGGTAAGGCTTCACATCCGTTTCTGTATTGCTTAAAAGGCAACCTTGGACTAACATATATCTATAGCGTGGTCATGGTCGTGGCTGGAAGAAGTACCCTCGGTCGTGATTTCCCTTATTATGAGCTTGAAAATCCTTCAATTGTAACTCAAATGTACTATATTTTGGAGTTTGGCGGTTAACCCTGTTTTGTGCGAAGGAATAGCTGTTGCATCAGTCTTATAAAATATCCAATATATACCTAGAATTTCACTATAAATCTACGGAAAATGCATGACAGCCGCCAATGACACAGGATAGGAAACCTAAAGCCAACAAAAATTCTAGAAAGTGCGGCTATATCGCCGTTATCAGTCATAGAATGGAGTCACTAGCTCGCCTGTTCTGACCGTTAAACGCTTATCATCAGATGCGTTGGACAAACAAACATGTTTACCAAAGTAGACTTTTCCTTCAACCTTCCTAGTCTTTGCCAACGTAGAGAAAGGCTCATCGCTGCGTGTAGCAGTCTGCTGGTCAATACAGATCATTTGACACCTCTGACAAGACCCAAGAGCGTCAAAATGAGCACCTCCCACCTGGAATCGGGTCCATAACTCTTCTATATAGGGATGTTCAGAAGCGGCTGATGACCGATATGATGCAGTGGGTTTGGGCGTGAGGGCGGGCTTTTTTTCGCAGACAATGATGTTTGCTCGGAATACGTCCGCTGCAACGGTTTTAGAGGTGGAATTTGGCTTTCCAGAAGACTTTATAGTTTCGTTGACTTTATTAACGCTTGAACGGGATATTATGAGGATAGGCCCTTCGTTGGATAGAAGAATAGGACGCTGTGAACCCGATGCAACAGGTTCGGGAAATGAACCAGGGATCTTGTCCATTGTATTTAGCGTATGTATAAGTCCTCTGCCGGGATTTCGGTATGGCTTAGAAAATCGGGCTAACAAATGGTTCTGTTGGGATGGAAATCTTGCAAGCATACAGGGAACACCAAGGAAATCAGAGAAAAAGGCTGAGAGTCGAGTGGATTTGTACACTTGCAAAGAGACCGTATCTCCACATACTGTAGATTGCTGATTTGCGATATTTTTGCATATCTCTCCTTCAACAAGATCCGTGGGATTGACGGATAACGGTATTTCCATAGAATCTCCGTATGAGCCCGGGGTTGGTAAGGTGACTTGTAAGATTCCCCTGGCGATATCAATAACCGGCCGTATCAGTGCCATTCGGGGGTATCTTTTCTGGTTGAGAGCAGAACCGGTTCCTTGATGTATCAAACACCACTCTCTGTCCCAGGCTAGCCCTTCTGGTTTGACATCCCATTCCATCAATTCAGGAATGGTGAATGCGCCGCAGCTCTTGATTGGATAAATACAGAGTTTTTCGATATAAAACTGCGAAGGTAATGCTTGAACGGAGGGTGGTAAAACTCCATCTCGAGGTTTCTGTTCGTTAGCGACGGGGTCTTCCACATAGAAATTTCGAATGAAGTCAAGAAAGGTATCAATGTCTTGTCTAGATGTCATGGCACCTAGGCTGACCCGAAGACCACCTGTGGGTTTTCCAGAAATGATATGATTGTCATCCCCACAGCGCTGCCCAGCGTTATAATTGCGTTTCATATCATCTGCCTTCAACCCAAGATAATACGCCATGCCGCCAGGATTGCATAGGGTTCCCGACCGGATCTGAATATTTTTGACAGCAGCTAGCTTCTCCACATCTGACTTCCGTATCCAGCTTCCAGTGCTGTCTTTCAGATTGAACGATACAATAGGGCCTTGGAGAGCACGTTCCATATACTCACCCGGTCCTTTGTAAATCTCGCAAACCTTTGTACCATTTCCATGCTCTAGAGATGACAGACCAGAATATAAGATCCTAGCCAACTCTGCAGTATGGCGAGATATATTATCCATGGAAGAGTAAATATGCTCATGTACGTCAAAGGCGGAATGCAAGGCCACGATGTTATGAAAAGGCAACGTGCCATCTTCAAGCTGATCATGAAGGGCAGAATCCTTTTTGGCATGCCATTGTTCTCCGATAGTCAGGACCATTCCGACTGTGCCCCCGCCAAAGTACTTTCTGTTCAGGAAAAGATGGCCGGCATCTTTGCGAACTATGAGGGCTCCGAGGTCAGGAAAGCCAAAGATTTTATAGAAGCTGATAACAGTGAAATCTGGTGCACAGGCTGTGTCACTTAAATCAAGAGGGGAGGTAGAGGCTAGAGATGCAGCATCAAATAAGGTGAAAGCTATCTGCTTCCCATTATTGTCTGTGCAGGCACGAAATTCCTGGCACCAGCTCAATGGCAACCGGCGACCGGTCATGTTTGATTGGCCTGGGTATGCAAAGAGGGTCGGGTGGGCAGACTCTGAAGTATTGTAGCCTTTATGAAGTTCATTAATCCAACTGGTTACCTCGTTATCGGCCATAAAGCATCTGCTTCCACGATCCGCCACGTTTCTGACCCCAACCAAGCTGGTATGAGAATCGACATGATATCCGTACCAGAACCCCCCAGGTTCATAGTCTCGCAAACTTTCTGCAACGAGCTTTATTCCAGCAGTTGCGTTGGCCACAAAGACGACGTCAAATTCTTCCGGGCTTGCGTTACAAAAACGAAGAACTCGTAGTCGCGCATCATCTATTAGACTGGTGGATAATTGGGAAGATGAAGACGCTGAGTGGGGGTTCCCAAAGAGGTTGCTTGTTAGGCGCTGGGAGAATGACTCTATCAGCGACTTTGCATAGAGCGTTGTCCCTGCATGATCAAGGTAGGTGGTATCTAGAAGTCAAGGAATCAGCACTGGGTTTCTCAGTAGTATCAGCAGCTTAGTGGCTACTTCCAAGGAATAAAGCAAAAAAACGGCCATCGATAAGGGTTAAATATGCTGCTATGCTAACCTTTCAGTAGCGGATATTGATCTGCTCGGATCTTCTCAACGGGCTCCTTGTAATAGGAGGGCGAGTCTTCGATGGAAACCATCGCTACCAATCGATGTTGAATAATGTGACATTATTCTAAGCAACTAATAAGTAGCAAGGGGATGAGAGAGATAGCTATTGGGTATATATAGTTATATGGCCAGCCTATGAATAGCGGGCAAGTAGTATCTCTGGTCTTTGAGACTACTTTATGCCTAGGCAAGCGTTAGACGTTGCGGCGCTCTCCGATAGAGACCTGGAGGAGGAGAAAGCGGACCTTTGGGGGGTTACTTTTCTTAAATGGTATGTTTGCACTGTTTGAATTAAAATTTCTGCTTAATAATAGACCCTCGGTCAATGATTAATACCCGTCCGGTATCACGTGTAAGATATTAGTAAGTCATTAGTCATATACGGATAAACATTCAACCTTATATGGCATTTCATTACATTAGGTAAGCAATTGAGAAGGAGTAAACAAACCTTTTGAGCGACGGCCTGCGATGCTGATATGCTGATATTGCGATGTCTTTCTATCTTCCAGGCGCCTGATGGACTCCCTCGGAGAGATCTGCCCTTCTAGCTACCTGGTAGTATGATTACTTGATAACGAAGCAGTACATCTAGCTGGTGCTTACCTTACAGAGTACAATTGGCAGGGTGGAACGAAGACATTCAGTAGCCTCTAGTAAGAAGAAGGCCTCTAGTAAGAAGAAGGCTTCGTTATGCTACAATATAGAGAGCAAGCTTGTAAAGTGCATCATTTTTTCGTCTATGCAGAATTGTAGATTTCGTCGAACCCATCTAGTTTGTGTGCTAGAAGAGACACAGTATTATTTCGAGTATTTAACATATCAATCATTATCTACAGAAGCCAAAACCAACCAGTTTTATCCGCCAAAGTTTCCGTCGTCAGTCATGAAAGACAACAAGCCGTTTGCGCGTACCTAGGGAGTAGTCTAAAGGGGAAAGGAAATTTGAAGAGCAGGAAATAGCCAAGTGTTTTAAACATGGTATGAGTTCCGCCTTCCAGAGCTGCTTCGATGTCTGTGGTGGCTGCTTCGGCGGCTGGAGTGGCTTCCTCTGCGCGAACGCCGCTCGTGATGCTCCTCATGGTGGGAGATGAAGTATGCGAACACGGCCGTCCAGAAGAACGAGATGATGTTCATGATACCGAAAGCAAAAGAGGCCTTCAGCATGGAGCACACCTTGTTTGGGTCACTGGCGAGCGGGTTGCGCTGCTGCTGGCCATAGTATCCAAACGGGCCCAGACTGAGGAGGAACTTGCTGCGCGAGAAGTTGCTGCAGTTCTCCTGGGCGATGTCACGGAGCAGATAGACGCCTGCGATCAAGGCGCCGAAGAAGCAGAGGTCGATGAAGGAGACGAAGATGGCTGAGCGCTTGGTGTTTTTGAAGCGGAAGAGGGTCTCGAGCACCCAGATGCCGCCCAGCACGCTGACGATGAAGAGGACGAGGATGTATGTTGGAGTGATGATGTTGGCCTTGACGAAGCCATCGATGAACCATGCCTGGGATGCGGATGTCAGTAGAGAGTATCGCGGGAGGAGCTTTTCCAGCATAGTGAGGTGGCTGGGCCGACTTACGAGCATGCCAATGGGCGGTATCAGAGTGATCAACTGGCCGATTCGCCAGCAGATGAAGAAGAAGCTGGAGAACATCTTGGTCGATGCGCCTTGAGGCCTTTGCTAGCCAGCAAGCGGAGGAGCAGCAGGAGGAGGAGAGACTGAGGTATAAGGAGCTGCTATATGAGGCCCCGATCGATTCCAGCTCGCGACTGGGTGGAGTAAACAGAGCGTCGCCTGCGAGGAGAAGCAGTCTGTCTCGTTAGCTATGCAGGACGGTTGAACAGATCGACAATGCGAGTGCCCGGGAGGTATGTAGTTATGTCCTGGTATAAACAAGGTCGCAGAGATCCAGCGCCCGACCATGCGCGCTACGGAGCTATTTAACTATCGCCTGGCCAACCCTCGGGGTCCCAGGACTAAGTAAATTAATGCGATAAATACTTGAGGCTGGGAAATGGAAGAAGGAAAGAAAAAAGCAAAGACAAGCAGATAAGCGGGATGTTTTAGCCGTGCTCGCTGTCATGGAAACGAGCCCTGTTGCCAATCAGCATCGCCAATGACGTTCGATTCTATGGGCCATGGATCCCTGCATGGATGGCCATTGAAGTGAGTACATAAGTATACATATAGAATGGCAGCGGACGGAGGAGGCTTCGGGCTTCGGACTTCAGGCGTTGGGCATTAAGTATTACAGCCGCTATTACATTGACTAACTATTATTTAGTGGCAACGGCGGCTTGCGGTTCCACGGTTGCTCTCAGGCACCGGCTTCAGACTCTTGATGCAGCCGCGGGCTTCGAGATGTTTGTTGAACTTAAGAAGTCTCGTTCAATTCAGCGTCTGGCTAACTAACTAGGCATTTGATTAATCAACTGAGAGCAGAGCGGTAGACGAGCGTCCATCTGCGTGGGCCTCCAATGTCGGTAGAATGCAAATCAGCAGCCATCTTCCTCCTTGACTTCGTCCTTGACCTCAGTCTTGACGGCTCTTCTGCCTTTCTTCGGAGCCTGCTGGTCGGCAGCCTCGCTTTGCTCAGTCTCAGTTTCATCCTTGACCTTGCGTTTCTTCTCTCCTGCTGGTCTGGCTGTCTTTGGTTTCTGTGGAGTATTCGCCGGGGTCTCCGTGTCACTGCTGGGCGCCTTTGCCTTCAGTTTGATGCGGGCAATGCGGTTCTTGATGGCCAGCGCGTTGTATTCTGTACAGCTGGATGTCAATTATTTCTTTCTCACTCTGAGTGCTGCTTGAGGCCTCACTACTTACCACCGCCCATCATCTTAGCGACAGCAGCATTGTCGACTTTGGCACTTGCTGTGGCCAGAATAGATGCAAGTAGCTAGGTGCAGATGGATGGTCAGTTTGATACCTCAGTTATAGCCAAGTAAGTGATGGGATCACGGCCTACCAATGCATCAGCTTTGTCGTCCCACACTACAGGCATTTTTTTTTTCGAGCTTTTGAAGACAAGATACAGCCTAAAAAGGTAGTAGATTGGTGGCTACAGGATGCTGTTTGGCGCGTGTCTTTGATCTTGCATGCAAGTCGAGTATGCGTGATGGCGGAATTGGTGAAGGATATTGAGAAAGATGGTGAGAAGAAGAAGAAGAAGAAGAAGAAGAAGAAGCTGAGAAGAAGAGAAGCGCGATCTTTGTTTGTTTTATATAGGGCAAATTCCTGTGTGAGGACAGCTCTGAATAACACAGTTGCCGGGTTACCAGCTAGGCTGAAGCACCAGGCAAGAGAAGTAGAACAAAAATGCCAAACGGGACGCTCAGGATTTGCTGCATGCTGCCTTATGCGGTAGGTAAGAAGAGAAGGAGACCGTAAGCAGTTAAGGTCATATCATCATCATCATAAACCGATGGCAAAGACGACTGGAGAGTTGAGGATATGCATGAGAAAAAAAGGGGGGTTGTATTGATATCAAATAGCCGAGAAATCCAGTCCAGGCCAAACGAATACTCCCCTTAGTGATCCGAGAAGAACGAGCAGAATATTTAGATTCTCATAAGATGCGCTAAACAAGCAGCATGAAGAAAGATATAGACGTATGCGTTAAGAAAAAAAAAGAGGGAGGGGGGATTATAATATAACATCAAGGGGGTGAATTTGACATGAACAGAAAGGGGGCAATATAGGTATCATTTGTGAGAATGTTTGAAACACACAACGTACAAAGAAGAAAGTACGAGACATGGCGCTATCATGGCAGGGATATTTATTGTTTTATGATTTGGCAATGGATGCAGGGTGACGCTCAAGAGGTGGACTGTTGGAAGAAGCTCTGTTATCGGGAGGATGGTAGGCAGCGTATCTGGGCGCAGCATCTGAACTGGTATCGGCGACACCTTGGTGGTGTCTAGGCTCATACCTCGTCTGCTGCATCTCATAACCCTCCGACTCGCTGCTTGACGCACCATAGTCCGTATCAGCAAGTCGTCGGCGTCTCTGAGCCTTTTGGTGTTCAAAGGGGTTGCTCATAAGCGCCGGAGCTGATTCAGGGACTTCATGTCCCTGTGCCTGCTCCTGGGAAGCTTGAGCGGCCTGGTACTCTTCATCCGCGCGAGGGACCAGTTTCATCTGGTCATTCTCGTACTCGAGGAGCCGGCGGTGGGTATACACTGGAGGCTCTGGAATCGATCCCCAGGTGCGGATTGGATGAGCTCGGCCCTTTTTCCAGGGCTCTGCAAGAGATGGGAAGTACTGCCGGTACGCAACCCAGCCGCAACCAACGCCCAGCAGGGACCCGGAGATGACATCAAATGGGTGATGCCGGGCATCCATAATGCGAGATACGGCCACTAATCCTGCAGAGAGTGTAGGTACCATGACGATGAACGCTTTCCAGACTTCTCCGCGGCTGTCCATGACATGCAGTTTTCCAGCCAGGTAGAGTGATAGATAGAATAGCCCAGCAAACGAAGCTATATATAAAGGTTAGCAAGCTTCAGCCTTTCTATACTCAATGCAATTCCCCAATCGATACATACAGCTGCTATGTCCTAGAACAAGAAAGGAAAAGTTAGTACGGAGTAAAAAGGGGCCCTCTTCTATCCAGAGGGACTGGTAATTATACGCACCTGATGGGAATGACCTAAACCCGTCTTTCAGGATCTCGTGGTCTGTCTGCGTGCAGATAGTATAGTTCGACAGGCCAAACTCCGGCTGCTCGAAGGTCCTGGGCTTGCACCGGTCGATCAGGTCCGGACGAGGCTTACCGCATGCATTCTTCAATGCACCGGTGATAACGAATGCTGCTCCCTGGGCCAGCACCAGCCCGAGGATGCCGCAGTTGAGCTCCCACAGCCGGTCCTTGAGCCTGTACTTGCCCATCAGCTTCCGCTTTCCCGTCGCAATGTTGACCGGCTTGCTGTGCGAGAACAGCCCGTCCAGGACGATCGTGTAGACGACGATGACCAGCACGGGGAAGCCGCCGGAGATCGCGAGGGCGAGCGGGATGGGCACTCGTTCGTTGACGGCATACGGGTAGTGCAGCGTGTAGTTCTGCAGGGCAAACGGCTGGTGGAAGGGCTCGACCCGGTCGAGGATGAAGAAGCCTACGATGAGCGCGCTGCCGGCAAAGAAGAAGCAAAAAAAACAGGAGGGAGTCAGTCAGTCTCGATCGGGAAAGCTGTCGCATGCCTTCGCGCCATCTTGAGGAAGCGTTGCAACTAACATGAGGATCACATAGTCGGAGATGTATCTGCAGGCGCGGGCGTTAGCTGGACACAGGCTCCAACGGCTGCAATGTTGCAAGGCGTCCGTCTTCACTCACGATAGGACTATCCTTGCGCGCAGGCGCTTCTTCGAGAAGGGCAGCTTGCTGGGGAGCTGTGCGTCCATGGCTGCTGGTGTCTATTCGAGCTGAGAGCGGGCGACGGGACGACGGGACGGACGGGCGCTGGCAGAGCCTGGGACGCAACGAGCGACAGGGACAGCGACGGGGATAAGAGGGATCGATCAGCTTCGTCTACGGGGTCTCGCGAGCATCCCTGGGGTTTTGACCGTGAGACCGTCTGCCGGGGCTGGAGAAAGGCGAAGGGCGAAGACGGACGACGGCGATGAAGAAAGGAGAATGACAGCAACGAACGGATCGAAAAGAAAGAAAAAAAATAAAATAAAATAAAAAAAATTTACCAAGACTATGTGGAATTCTTCAGTTTTAACTCATGGTCAACGAGCCATATTAATAGTTAGCTGGAGTTTTCTTTCTTTTTTCCTTCGTGCTTGTGCAGCTGAAACGCTTCTTCTCGCTAGGCGGTCGACCTGCTATTTAGTTACTTTAACGGAGGCGGCTACGTGGTTGCTACAGTGAAGCAAACTACTCCTACTACTACTACTACTACTACTACTACTACTACTACTACTACTACTATCGACCACCAGAACAGAGAAAGCGGGTTGGTTTGGCTTGATACGGTGCGTCCACCCCTGTATTATTATGATTATTGGCTTCTGGACCTGTCGAGCTGATGCAGGTCGCAGGTTTCCGCCGCATTCTGCAGGCTGAGGGCGCAGCAAGCGCTGGCCCATCCACCATCCTGCCCTTGTCCCTGCTGTGGGACGCGTCATGGAAAGGGAGAACAGCCCCCCGGATTTGAAGGTGTATTTCGTTCATTTTGCCTTGCTATCCACAGAGCTAGGAGTGGCGGGCGGGCGAGGACTGCGTTCTAGGCGCTGTGGGGAGCGGACAGGTCGCCGCGGCCACGTAAGATCATTTGCACCAGAATGAGGCTTGGATGAACGCTTTGATATTACTATTTGACTATGGTATCACGGGAAGAAAACAGACGGAAGCAGGGCAAGAATGTCTGGTGAGAAAAAAGGGGGGGGGGGAGGAGAAGGTTCGACATGGCAATATAAAAGTGATTGCTGCTACTACCCGTGGTAGACAAACTGGCCGGGCTTCCAGTCAATAGGCCGGTTGCAGTACCACGTATCGGCTTCAGCGTTACTCGAGTCCTTGGAGCGTCTGCTATTATGGTTGATAGCTGCATACAGGCTAAATCCCTGCTGTTCGAGGACGTCCATAATCGTCAAAAGGATAACTCGAGTCTTCACTGTCTTCGTGCCAACAGCTCGCCAGGGACTCCCGTGAAGTTTGATCTCAAACATGGTTCCTCGCACTTGGCAGTTTTCGACATCTGGGCCCAGGGCATCCGCCAGAATCAAGCCAAAGCCGGTTGGTCCATCGACAATACGCAGTTTATCAGAGTGATGGAAGGATATGCTCGTTCATATACACGGCGGCGGCGTAGGCTGTTGGTAGCGAAAGAATAAACTGTCTTTTTTTTTTTGGCCAGGGGTACGTAGTTACGCCGGAATCAGCAACCAGCAAAGGGTGGCGATTGTCATTTAGATAGGGGTGTTATAACTATCCCCTTGATAAAAAGCGGGCGATCACTCACCGACATGTCCGATATCCACGGAAACCTTCACAATCCAACCTCGCTGGTACAATCCATCGAGGAGTCCTGCCATCAGCTTACGGGCATGGATGCGAGACTCTCCCCACGAGTGTGGCGACCATGGGTTTCCGTTCAGTTTGATTTCGAGAGACTGGCTATATTCACGCGGAGTATTGATCCCCCTTGGCCAGCCTATCCGGATCATCTCGATTATCTCAGGGACTATCGGTTCTGGAAATCTCAGCAGTCTGATGCGGTCCGTCATGTGCATTGATAGACACGCAAACGCCGTTCTCGATTCGGGTCCCGGAGGCAAAGGTCTTCTTGAGATAGTTGAAGCCGACGATATTTGTGAAGCAGACATTGACGGCGCATGAGGGAGAGTCGGACGGTGGTGTTCATCGTGCGGTGACGAAGATATTGCAGATGCCACGGTCGTTGCATCAGTATGATATGGGGGTGCTGTAGGCACAACGTTGAGCTCTGGTGCCGTGGCCGCTCTTTCGGCCTCGTTTGCCTGGAGTTCGATCGTCTTGATGCTCTTTTCAATGCTGGGGATGACTATCTCGTGCTCGTGATATTCTGGATCGGGAGCCTCCTTTCGGTCCATCATCAGGCTGAATATCAGGTAAGAATTACCAACAGCTCCTCTTCTGTTCAGAGTGCACAGGGCATCCGCTGTTACTTCGATGAATCAAATTTACCCTGGGGTCTTAATTATAACTACTTCACCCCAGAGCAAACTGATGGATGGTATTTATCTTGACGCCTCTTTCTTTGATATGACGCCCTATTCTCCAAACTCGGCTGAGCTGCTGTTGGCATGGCTTGCCCCTCGTATTCCCGCCAGTACCGTCCAACTAACTGCCTTACGACTCTCCATGGCTTAGACCCTCAAGCCTTCGTTCCGTACTTCCTCCCGTTCTTTGCTGACTTTCCATCTCGGGCATTGGTTGCCGTCATAAAACGATAACTAGCGCACAGCATGTCCCTTTTCCGCGTTATCTCTTTTTGCTTTTGGAGCTTTGTCCCCAGGCTGTACTGGGCTTACCCAATGGAGCTTGCATGAAGCGAGTTTATCAAAGACATATGGAGCAGTTTCTCGTATGCAACAGAGAAATTCTTACAAAGCCCCCCCGTATTGATCATCAGCATGGAATTTACTAGCATAATTCCAGAAAGCTGCCTCATGGGTGAGCTATTTTAAGGACAGTCATTTTCATTAGTCAACTAACTAGTTAATTAATACTTGCTTGCTCTGCTCACACCGGAAGCCAACTTTTTCAGAAATTCAGCAGCACGAGTGTTTCTCAAATTAAAGAAAAAATAATAGAAAGACACGGAAATTCATAATCGTTTTAAGACATGGTTCCTCCATCTACTTTGCACAGCGAGTGATATAGAGTCCGATTCTAGAAATGAGCATCAGCATATGTCTTTGCTTGGTTCTTCAGCTGCAAGCCTTCGAAGGATCGGACGCTACTTACGGTGGGTTTCCGTAGTCCTGGAAATACTTGAGGTTTGTTGATCCTGCATTAGACATTTTGAAGGCGATTGCCTGGCCGAGTGGGCAGTCAAAGGTGGCAATAACGTTCGATTTTCCGGCAGCGAGCGTCTGTATGCCTAGCTCAGCGGCTACTTTTGGCGCATTCTCGTAGGTTGTTCCATTGTTAGCGGGTCCTTCCAGTCTGGCCATGCTAACCTTCCCATCACCCTCGAAGGTATATGTCCAGGAAGGACGTTCCTCCTTGCTAGGGAACAAGAAGACCAGGGAACAAAGGTTGGGACCTTGCGGGGAGATGTCGAAGTTGAAGATGGAGGAGATTGTTGCTGAGACTTCGCCATAGTACGAAGTTCCTTTGGCCACCGTAGGGGCCGACGAGTTGACTGGGATGATCAAATGGGGGAACTCGAATGGTCCAGAGAGATTGGTCGGACAGTCCTTAGTTGCCCGCTCCTCGATTGGCCGGGAAGGGATTGATAGAGCATTGCTGCCCATCGCTAGGCATGCTGCCACAGTGAGCCACTTCATAGTTGACGTTGGAGAGAGCTGCTTTGCTTGCTTTCTTTAGGGAGTCAGGATTGATTATTGAGTGATAATGTGCTTTTCTGTCCGCTGCCCTAGGAAACGAGGGAGGCTAATACCTGGACGACTTGCTGGTATTTATAGATTCTCATTGTCAAGGCCCATGGCATCCAGATGCTTGTTCAATTGCCGAAGCGAGAAGCATGTCTTGAACCAAAAAAGCCACAGTAAGAACATCTACATGCTGTTTCCCATGGACTGTTCCATCGCCGAGTTGCACTCGATGCTGCAGAGCGTGTACCTCCCGACATCTCGAGGCGGCAAGCAAGTGCTAAAAATGGAAGAACGTATGATCAGACATACAGATCAGCCACAGTAAACAAGCAAATCTTGTAACAAGCTGCAGGAAGTGGATAACAGATCTGCGTTGGATGTCTCAGAGCTTCCCTCATTGCAGTAGCCATGTGATGCGATGCTGCGGTTGTAGAACCTGGTTATGCACATCTCCCGGTTAGTTCGCAATTCTCGTGCCAACGACAGTCGATTTTGGAATCCTTGAAGCCGCTACGGAGTACTTTGTTTGTTGATAGGAGATCACCCGTAGAAATGTGGATAACCTGGTGTCTCCATGTTTCGTTCAATCCGCTTTGCTGTTACCTCAATGCGGGGAGCTTGCATGTCCAGCAACGGATTCAGACAAACTTCATGGCGATATCAAAAGTCGTACGATAGCGCCCCGGAGAAGCACTCGGTACCATATACCCCGTACTCTGTACCCTCTTTGCAGAGGAAACTGACTGGTCATGCAGGAAAACAAAAGCCGGAATGTGGTTCTTCTTGCTGCATGACGCAGAATATGCCTCAGGGTGTAACTAAGACATTCTCTGTACTGTACTCAC